GGGTGTGGGTCTATACATATGTTGTACATACTATGTTTAGGTATGTGTCATGTATGTGTTTCACTTTGAGAGCGGGCAACTAAATTTCATTTTTGATGTGTGCCGTTGTGCCCGCAGTAAAAAAATGACAATAAAGGTTATCTTATCTTATCTTAAACCAGACACCCAAGACTGTAACAGCTGGACAGTAGAGAGATAACAGAATGAAATTACTCAAATCACTCAATTTTTCAATTACTGTTGAAAAACAGAAACCAAACACTTAAACACAGATTCTTGACACCATTATTTTTCATTTTCTACAATTCTGAGCGAGGCATCCTCTAGAGTCTATTGCAATGCCCATCAGCAACTATTGAGAAGATGGAGACCTTATTCTCTATCCAACTACTTTCCATAGATTTTAGTTTTAAAAAAAACAATGTTTTTCAATATAAAGGAGAGAGGGGGGGGAGAGAGAGAGAGAGAGAAAGAGACATTCTAGGAGTAAGATGGATGATTAAGAAGTTTGATATATATAAATAAAATAAAATAAAAAATTCAGAGCTACTGGTGTTCCTGACATTTGTATGTGAGAAAGAGCCACTCTTCCTTCTCAGGGACATAGTTCATAAGTCAAAGCTTGCAAGTTGCAGTGCAAGTTACATTTACAAATGTAAAACACTAAGAATCTGAATTTTATTCATTCAGAATTCCTTCACTCCCACTGACAAAACTGTTGACTGCATTTTTGGTCCTTTTTTTCCCCCCTCTTCCTATCTGCTGTTTCATGTGAAATTACCATCCCTGGTCTGTTTATTAAACTAATGTATTTCATCTTGAAGGCTGGACCGGCCATCAAGTGAGAGATGAAAACAAAACTACAACTCAAAAAACCTTAGAGAATGTTGTGAATGTAGCCAACTCCGAGTTGCTCAACAAACTGTAGCTTCAAGTCAGTCCATGAGTTTGTTGATCACAGATAACAAAGAATATTGTCTACTGCCTTGGGTGAAATCAAAGTGTCAGCATTCTTCAAACCAACTACTAAACCTCTAATCCAATTAGGAAATAAAATAAAAGAGGGAGGATTCTTTCTGAGAAATCCATCAAGATTTCTAGTAACCGTTGTGGTGGTGGTTGTTTTTAATTCTGTCAGACAAGCAGCTTTGTTATCAATCGTCTTAATACCAGTGTGGCCTGCCTCTAATACCTCCTCCTCCTCTTTCCTCCAGTATTAATCATAGATTCATCAAGCTGGAAGGGGCCTCAGAGGTCATCTGATCCAACCTTCCAATCAGTGCAACACTTGGTGATGCAGTTTGGACCTCCAGTGAAGGAGAACATACCACTTCAACGGAGTTGATCTGTTCCCCTGATTAATACCTCTACCCATCAGAAGATTTCCCCCTAATATCTAACTTGAATATACTGTACTTTCTTCAAGTTTCAACTCACTGGTTGTGGTCCTGCCCTCTGTCCAATAAAGAACAAGTCTTCCTCAATTTTCTCTATTTTCTAAAGAATTACCTACTCCTTCTAGTGTTATGACATCTGCAAATTTAATAGTCATCCTTTCAACCTCTTCCACCAGGTCATGGGTAAAAATGTTGAACATCATGAAGCCAGGACAAATCTCTTTTGTGTTCTACCACCAGCTTGATAGGGATCAGTTTGTGTGTACTTTCTGAATACAGTCGTTCAGTCAGTCTCAGTTGCTACCTGTACCCTGTATGGATATAATGAGAGATTTTGTTGAAGACTGTGCTAAGGTCAAGGTACACTATGTTCTGTACAATTAAAGTGGTAAGTCTCCAGGAGATAAAGTCTGCCTAGCCTAACTTGTTATGACAAACCCATGCTGGCTTTTGTTAACTCTTGCATTCCTATCTAAGTACACAAACACACAGTTTAATCATCCGTTCAAGGGCTTTGCCCAAGAGCAATATCAACTGAGAAATCTGTACTTTCCTAGATCATCCTCCTTCCGTTTTTGAAGACTAAGACATTTGCTGTCCTCCAGCTTTCTGGGAACTCACTAATTCTCACTCTAGTATTATTAGTTACAGTTTAAGATAACATAAATATAGCTGTTTGATTGCAGCAAATGTCTGAAATGGTATAGGGTTTCCTGCCTGAGCAGGGGTTGGACTAGATGACCTCCAAGATCCCTTCCAACATTATTGTTGTTGTTGCTGTTGTTGTTGTTGTTGATCATCGCACAGTCAGCCAGATGTTCAGACTGGATTTGGCATTTTGTCTACCTATCGAGTCCTTACCTAGGACCTGGGATAGGCAGATGTGGATGTTTGATGGTATTACAGGTATCGTCGCAGGATGGAAGCAGTTCCTAGTAAGGTCGCCTTTTGCAATTGACTAATAGCGAATTTGTCAATGCCAATGGTGTTCAAGTGATGCTCCAGTTGTTTGGGATTGCACCCAAGGAGCCTATTACTATTGGTACTACCCTTGCTTGCTTTTGCCACAGTCTTTCTATTTCTATTTGTAGGTCTTTGTATTTTGTTATCTTCTCCAGTTCTTTCTCTTCTATTCTGCTATCTCCAGGCACTGCCACGTCCACTATCCAGACTTTGTTGTCTTTCTTATCGACAATTGTTAAGTCTGGGGTGTTATGTTGCAGGTGCTTGTCTGTTTGAATTCTGAAGTCCCAGAGCAGTTTAATTTTATCATTTTCTATGACTTTCTCTATTTTACAATCCCACCAGTTTTTGCTTACAGGCAAATGATATTTTTGCAGATCTTCCAATGCACCGTTGTTGCTACTTTGTCATGCCGCTGCTTGTAGTCAGTCTGTGCAATCTTCTTGCAACAGCTTACCAGGTGGTCCACTGTTTCTTCAGCTTCTTTGTATAGGTGGCACTTACTGTCTGTTGCTGTCTTCTCAATTTTGACTTTATACGCATTTGTCTTTAAGAGTCAAAATTGAGAAATATTATTATTATTATTATTATTATTATTATTATTATGGATCATCGCACAGTCAGCCAAATGTGTTCAGACTGGATTTGGCATTTTGTCTACCTATCGAGTCCTTACCCAGGACCTGGGTTGTTGTTGTTGTTGTTGTTTTTATTGAAAATTTTTATTTTTTAAAACATACAATCATTTATAAAAATACAATAAAATTTTAAAATAGAGAACCCCCCCCCTTACCCTCCCTCCCACCCCCACCCCCCCTCCCTTCACTTCCCAGAGCAGAATACAGGGTTAAGAAAAAAAAAGAAAAAGAAAATTATAATAATTAAGAAAAAAGAAAAAAAAAGAAAGAAAAAAAATATCATAATTAACCTTTAACTCCATAACTTATAAAACAATTCTCTATAATATTTGATATTCATTCATAAAATAAATAAAACTTTTTAATTCCATATTTTTTCTGAATATACTCTATCCACCTTCCCCATACAGTAATATATCTTTCTTGTGTATGATCCTTTAAATAAGCAGAAATTTTTGCCATTTCTGCAAAACTAGATACTTTAAATATCCATTCTTCTAAAGTAGGCAAAGAATCTTTCTTCCAATATAGACCTACTCGTAACCTTGCTGCAGTTAATAAATTCAACATCAAAGTAGTTTCTTTTTCATTTAAGTCAACAAAAATACCAAGTAAAAATAGTTGAGGAGTAAACTTTATATTCTTTCTAAAAATCTTTTGAATGTTCCACCAAATCATAATCCAAAAAGCCTTTACTTTTTTACAATTCCACCAAATATGAAAGTATGTCGCATCATTATTGCCACATCTCCAACATTTGGGCTGTATGTTGGAATACATACAAGATAATTTTTTAGGATCTAAATGCCATCTATAAAACATTTTATAAAAATTTTCTCTCAAATTTTGTTGTTGTTATTATTATTATGTTTTGCGTGAACATGACTAGACTCCTATTATGTTGTAAAATGTGCTGAAACCTAAGTCTTTAAGGGAGACTGGAAGGTGAAGAAGGCTAAACTCTGTGTACATGTATTATCTTTTTTACAAGAATATGTCCAGGCACTACCAGCGATTTTAATAGCAAATGTTTTGGAGACAGTCTGTCTATTCAACTGTTAACATCCCAAGCTGTATCTACTTTTATCTCTGCTAGACTAGAGGAATGGAATGATGGGAGAAGCAAGTAAAATCCATTCAACTAAGTAACTTTAGAAGATAGAAATGAAGTTAAGATAATATAACCTTTATTGTCTTTTTTTACTGTGGGCACACGGGCACACATTAAAAATGAAATTCTGTTGCTTGCTCTCAAAAGTGCACACATAGGACTTTCAAAGATTGCATGAAGAAAGATGAAGATCCAAGAAAACACTGCAACTCAAAAAGAAAGAAGCATTTGAAGTTGTTTGGGTATTCAAACATCTTGCCACTTGGACAGCTCTATTGGATAAAAGGAATTTTTAAAATAGGTTGCTAAAATTAATGCAACACAGAAGTCCAGACTGCGACTTAAACATGGCTGGGGGCTGCCTGAGACAGCAGAGGTAGATTAAATATAAATATTACAAGATCCAATCTGGGTTAGTCACCGGGACCAGAAGTTTACTCTTGCACAATTATTATATTTAATATTTGCATTTATAAAGCCCTCCAGTCAAGAATTACTTCAGGCAAGGCTTTAAGCAAGCATTCCACTGTTGCTATAACTACAGTGATTATATCTTCTTGGAAAAAATAAAGGTCAAACCTGGAAAAGGGACAAATCTGAAAGAGCTTAGTAAGGATAAAAAATATTTGCTTTATAAAAGAAAATTCAAGGGCAAACCCTAGAAACGAAATAATGAAATCAAATAAATGTAAAGGCAGCTTTCTGAAATAAAGGACTGCAGCTATTAACCCGCCTAAGGGAAATGCTCAGGAAAATACACACTTTTGTCTGTAAGCTCGAATCTGCCACCCGCCCGATCCCCAGTTGCCTCGGACGCCTGCACAAAGGCAGAACCCCGGGTGAGTCAAGGGCACTGAGGCAGCCGGCCAGCAGAGGGCGCCGCGCTCTCATGGCCAACGAAAGGAGACGCCGCCTTTTCTCCGTTCGGTGGGCGTAGCGCTTGCGCTGGTCCAGCCGCCCCCACCGCTCCGTCTGTCAATTACCGACCATTTTAGGCGCAGCGCCGCCTGGTTGTCCCGAGCTGGAGGCGCTTCGGCGTCCCGGTCTGGATCGTTGATATCTGCTGGAAAAGAGGAGAGGTCGAGGTACCGGGATTAGCAAAGGCCGGCAGGCAAGGAGTTGGATGGGGAATTCCGGGGAATTAGATTTGCCGGCTGGTTTTAGGACTCTTTGTGGTCACGAGCCGGTTGGTTGTGATCGCAGGCCAGGCTGATTGCGGGTTGTGCAGCGTAGTGGAGGTCGGTCGAAGCAAAAGGGGTCCGAGCTACGGTTGCTTATTTTGTGCATTGGTTAGATTTAAATCTGGACTTTCCTCCAGGCGATGCACAAGGTGCTGCTTCTCTTTCGCCTTTTGCATACAACAGCCCAGTGAGGTAGATCGGATGGTAGAAAGAGGGTGTCACTGCACAAAGTGGACTTGAATCTGGGTCTTTCTGGATCTGATCCAGCACTTTAATTGCTCCGCGCTCCCTGGCTGCGCTGTCTTAAGTTACAGCTGGCTGTCTAGGGCTTTGTCCGACTTGTGTCATTGCTTGTTTTTAAAGGTATTTAACCATTTGTAAGCTGCCCAGAGTAGCTGGGAGTAGCAGCACATATTAAATGTATTCTAGATGATCCTTTTAAAAGTCCCTTTCAACTCTGTTATTCTGTTAATATGCACTATCACCAAATCAGGTTTCCCCCCATCTTATTCTCTTCTAGAGTGTTAGGAATTCTTCCTTGTTTTATGTCATCTACAGATGTCAGGTGAGATTCTCAATCATCCAAGTCCCAAAGGTACTTTTTCCAAAAGTCAGTTGGACTTTCCTGCTTTTTTTTTTCCTTTGAAAACATTTCACTTCTCATTCAAGAAGCTTCTTCAGTTTTGAAGAATTGAAGTGAAATGTTTTCAAAGAAAAAAAAAAACCCTAAGAAACTCCAGTTGCTTTTAGGGTCATCTGCAGATGTAATCCTTATCCCCTGAACCTATTCATCCAGGTTATTAATTAAAAAGGTTGAAGAGCTGATGGCCCAGGGCACAGTCCTCTGGCAGTCCACTTGATATCACTTTCCATTGGATGTACTCTCCAGATGCAGTCATTCAGCCAATGAATGAAGTCATCTATCGTGATATTACCTAGCTCATATTTGACTATTTTATTAATGAGGATGTAATGAAAGATGTTATTTATAAAAACAAGGCAGGATAATAAATAAAGCTAAGTTCTCTGTCAGAAGGAGAGAGAGGTTTGGCAAACCATGCTGGCTCTAGTTAATTATTGCATTCCTATCCAAGTACTCAAAGGCACTGTTTAATCATCTGCTTCAGAACCTTGCCCAATATAGAAATCAGGCTTACAGATCTGTAATTTCCCAGATTCTCTTCCCTTTTTTGAGGACGGAGGTATTTGCTATCTTCCCAGTTTCCTGGAATACCAGTTTTACAGGAGGTCACAAGAACCACAATTCTGGGAATTTCTGCATTCTTAGAGAATGATTTATTACCTGGTTCTGGAAAGCTTAATTTGTTAAATTAGCTCAGGGTTTTTCTACCCTCCTCTTGTGTACCTTGAACTGCAACTTCCTCTTTCCATTTGGGGCCATACAATGGTCAGTTAGGCCTTTGTTTTTCTTCTGGGAGAGATGTGAAAAGTAAAAGATGAGTTAACACAGAGGTCTTCAAACTTGGCCCTTTTATGACTTGTGGACTCAAGTCCCAGAATTCCTCAGCCAGGCAAGCTGGCTGAGGAATTCCGGGAGTTGAAGTCCACAAGTCATAAAAGGGCCATGCTTGAAGACCTCTGAGTTAACAGATTCTACCTTCTTACCATCACCTGTTGTCAGTTTATTCCTTTCTCCTGGCAACAGGCTTGACAGCCTCTTGGCCTTTCTCTCAAACTTCAGCACATTCTGAATTTAGCTGTACTGAAGTATTCCCTGCAATATTTGCTGACTGCCTGGTATCCTTTGGTTTTATGTCCTTCCTTCCATTTCCTACAAATAAGCCTTCTTGTTTTTAAAAAGATGTCCATACAGATCTCTTTAGATGTCTCTTATCTTTTTCCCCATTTTAGTAGTGTGTTAGAACAGAAATTCTAGTCCCATTTGTGGCCATTAAGGCAAGGATTACCTGTACTTTGTGCTCCCAGTTCTTTCACCTTCCTGACTGGGGCTGTGTAGTCCCTGGAGATCTGTTTAGGACCTCTTTTGTCAGAGATTTTTGTTGCTCATCTCCATATGAATTATTTGGAAGTTGATGGGATTGAAGAGGCTTGGCATCTTGTCTGTCACATCTTGGAAGACAATACCCCGGCTATAGGGTTATATCAAATCTGCACTACAGCTTTGCTCCTCTCATCACAGAATTAGCTATCACCAGAATACACTTTTTCTTCCACACAGGATTTTTCAGTTCACCAGGGCCCAAGCATCTTCTGCCCTATTCATAAACTTGGGATTGATAAGACTTGATTACAGACTGTAGATCAGTGATGGCGAACCTTTTAGAGACCGAGTGCCCAAAAACTGGCCCCGCCCCTTCTTCACTCCCCTGCCCTGCCCCACGTGCCCACAGGACTATTCACTGTCCCCAGGGCCTGCCGCAGATCGCCCAGGCAGCCCAGCAGCGCCATGGCAGCCATGCCCTCTGCCCGTGACCCACAGCATCAACTGTGTGCATTGGGGCATGAGGGCAGAGTCTTGTCTACACTGCCTGGCTGCCATGTGCTTAGCTGCGTGCTCCGTGTGAGCCACGCTCGGGGGCGACTCCTTCAGAGGGGCTGCTGGAGAGGAGAGGGTCACGGGGGGAGGCAAGGCTGGGGCAACGGTATGTGTGCCCACAGAGAGGGCTCCGAGTGCCGCCTCTGGCACCCAAGCCATAGGTTCGCCACCACTGTTATAGATTATCCTCTGGAGTAGTGTTTCTCAACCTTTGTGGCTTGAAGATGTGTGTACTTCAGCTCCCAGAATTCCCCAGTCAGCATAGCTGAACTGAAGTCACACATCTTCAAGCCGCCAAGGTTGAGAAATACTGTAATCTAGAGCAGGGGTCCCCAACCCCCAGTCCGTGGACCGATACTGGGCTGCGGCATGCCAGCAACCGGGCCACACAAACAAGCAAAGCCCCATCCATGGGATGCAGGCAGCACACAAAACCACGTCCCCTCTGGTCCACGGAAAAACCCTTCTCCACATAACCTGGTGCCCAAAAAGTTGGGGACTTCTGATCTAGAGCAAGCATCCGATACCAATTGCTGAACTTTATTGGACATGAATACCTTTTTAATTTTGCTTCTTTTGAAGAAAAGCAAACAAATCAGCTGTTCTTATTTGTAAATAAATCTTAAACCCATTGGCTTATATAGTACACACATGTGCAGTTTGCATTCCTTGGGGGGAATTTCTCTTTGTTTAAAAATCCTCCTTTGCATCTGAGTTTGACTGTTGGAATTGTAGTACTGTTATAGGACTAATAGGATTTAACAGTTGTGATAAACAATCTCTTTTCTAATTTCTGGGCAGATAAAAAGTTTCAGGCTTTGCTTCCCTGGAAAACTTCCTATTCTTCTGTCTAGCAAGATGGAACTTACCCAGGTAGGTAGTTTTCTATAGATCTGTATTTGGTTTTCTTTTGGAGAGCAAAAATGCCTAAGAGAGCTGCCCTCCTTTTGTCCTTTTTGCCTACGTGGGCAGAACTGAGGTCCATAAGCACTTTGGCTAAAAATTGATGTGTAAATTGATCCCAGGTATTAAATCTCATGACTCTTCCTCCAATGACAACTTGGGATTTTATCTCCATGTGAAGAAAATAATGTGTTGCCTTATTGCTTTAATAGAACAATAAATCCTGTGGTTAGAGTATGACAATATGGAGGCTATATAATTTTTTTTTATTCAGCTACATGTATCCTGCAGATGTATTCCAGTAAAGTTTAACCGTGGGAATTATACCAAAGGATAATAGACTTAACATTCATTAGAGGCGAGACCAGGGGTAGGCAACCTTGGCTCTTTTATGACTCGTGGACTTCAACTCCCAGAATTCCTGAGCCAGCCATGCTGAGGGGAAAGGGAGAGGTTTCCAAGCTGAGCCATGCTGGCTCAGGAATTCTGGGAGTTGAAGTCCATGAGTCATAAAAGAGCCAAGGTTGCCTGCCCCTGGGCTAGACAGCCATCCATCTGAGATGATTTTAATATGATTCCTATAAACATTCATAAATATAAATATGAATGTTTATGATTGCCATGTTCCCTTCATGTCAGTGACCCATTTTGCAACCATCACAACTTATGACCATGATAGGCAGGCTCCATTGTGGTCATAAGTCAAGGATTACCTGGGCAGTGGTTTGATTATATATATATATTTAAGTCCACTTGCTTCAACAGTTCTTCTTTGTAGCTTCTTCATTCAGTTGCAAAGTAGAAACCTATGTCCTGCCTATATCAGGACAGAGCAAGACAATCAACTGTTTGGCCTGAACTATATAAACCGTAATGCTTAGCCTTGCTTACAGTTTTCATAATTTTGCAAACTTCCTTGGTGAGCTATGATTGGGCTAAGGTAGGAATGGTAGTTCTTCTGTATGATAAGGTAAGAAAAGAAAAGAAAAGATGATAAGATAAGATAAGATAAGATAAGATAAGATGATAACCTTTATTGTCATTTTTTTACTGTGGGCACAAGGGCACACATTAAAAATGAAATTTAGTTGCCCGCTCTCAAAGTGAAACATATACATGATACACACCTAAACATACTATGTACAACATATGTATATAGACGCACACCCCTACATATACATAGCAAATAAATATTACATACTGTCCATCTTGAATATATAACGGAAGGAGGAAGCTTGAGAGTTCACAAGGTTAATGCTGTATGGAATGAAACTGTGGCTGAATCTGGATGTTCTGCTACGGATATCACGAAGCCTTCTCCCAGAAGGTAACAAGAAAAACAGGTTGTGAAGAGGATGTGTAGTGTCCCAATTAATAATAATAATAATAATGATAAAGTTGGAAGGGAACTTGGAGGTCATCTAGTCCAACCCCCTGCTCAGGCAGGAAACCCTATACCATTTCAGACAAATGGCTGTCCAGTTTCTTCTTAAAAACCTCCAGTGTTGGCGCATTCACCGCTTCTGGAGGCAGGTTGTTCCATTGGTTAATTGTTCTAACTGTCAGGAAGTTTCTCCTTAGTTCTAGGTTGCTTCTCTCTTTGGTTAGTTTCCATCCGTTGCTTCTTGTCCTGCCCTCAGGGGCTTTGGAAAATAGCTTGACTCCCTCTTCTTTGTGGCAGCCCCTGAGATATTGGATCACTGCTATCATGTACCCCCTCGTCCTTCTCTTCATTAAACTAGACCAGTGGTTCTCAACCTGTGGGTCGGGACCCCATTTGGGATCGAATGACCATTTCATGGGGGTCGCCAAACCAGGCTGGCCACCATTTTCTTCCCTTTTCCCTAGCTGTCCTACTCCCTCTTATTGGTGGCCACACCCACTTGGGGGTCACCACAACATGGGGAACTGTATTATGGGGTCACGGCATTAGAAAGGTTGAGAACCACTGAACTAGACATACCCAATTCCAGCAACCGTTCCTTGTATGTTTTAGCCTCCAGTCCCCTGATCATCTTTGTTGCTCTTACAGACCCTGCTCAAACAACTCTTTATTATGAAATAAAGATGTCATTTCTTTGTGGTGTAGGTGGCATTTGAAGAGGTTGCTGTGTATTTCACAGAGCAGGAATGGGCCTTGTTAGATATGGGTGAAAGAGCCCTCTACACGGATGTCATGCAGGAGAATTTTGAACATCTGATATCCCTGGGTGAGCATCAGAACTCTTGTTTTCTATATTATTAAACACCGGGGGTTTTAGATGCATGCAGACTCTCTTTTAGAGAGGCATAGACAAGCTAGTTACTGTCTCATGTTAATGTTTTCTGTAATTTCCAGGCATCCTTCTTGCTCTGAAAGAAAGCAAAATCACGCCTTGTCTACTTTTGGTGCCACCATGTTCTAGCACCATGGCTTTTCGCCAGGTAAGTTAATAATAATAATGATGATGATGATGATGATAATAATAATAATAATACAGTTGGAAGGGACCTTGGAGGTCATCTAGTCTAACCCCCTGCTCAGGCAGGAAACCCTATACCATTTCAGACAAATGGCTGTCCAGTCTCTTCTTAAAGATTTCCAGTATTGGAGCATATATACGTCAAGCTATACTTGGGAGAACAAGATGTAGAAGGAAACATGTGTCTCTGTAACGTGCTTTACTCGCGTGAAAAAAGTGGAAATGTGCTCGTTGTGTAACAATATACTGTATTGTTAACAAGGCTCAACAATCTGAAAGGGAAACATGTATATTTTCCTTCCTTTACATTAATTGCTGTTTTTTTTTAAAAAAAACTGGTGATTTTGGCTGAGGTCAGACCCTTTTTAGGTAAGCACCGTTTATGTTTTTACTCACTCTGCCTGCGTGAACTATGTCCCAGGAGTTGCTTGTTGAGCCACATTTCTGGAATGTCAGAAGAGACAAAGTTTAAAGGTGCTGTTTCTATGTAGCTGCACTAAGACTACATAATGGGCTCCCCCCTGACATTTAAACTATCTCCTCAGTAACTTAAGGCAGCATTGCTGGCTGTGGAATTCTGGGAGTTGAAGTCCTCATGCCTTAAAATTGTCAAGTTTGGGAAACACTGACTTAAGGTGATTAAAAACAGCTTTTTTGCGGAGCCTTTCAGTAAAATCACCCATACCTCTTGTTCTTCTTCTTATTTTTTCCCCAGTTTTGATTTTATGTTTGCAGTTTGGATGGTAGGTTGTTTAAATCCTGTGGTTATTTTTATTGTGGCATTGTGATTGCCAAGATTGTGGCAGAATAAAAATAAATCAAATAAATTATAGTTATCTACATATACTGTAATCAGGGCTATGTTTTCAACTAAAACCATAACCTCGATTCTGGGTGCTGTTGAGTTTGTGGGGCAGGAGAGGGGGAAAAAAATGAAGGAAAGAAAAGATATTACAGCCAAACTGTATTATTCAGTAGTGTTAAGAGCAGTTATAATTCATCTTCAGTTTTTTGTCTGCTCAGAGATTATTCATTTATTTTCCTTTATCTAGTAATAATCTAATATTAGAGGTGCATAGCCTGAGACTGGAAGACCACAACTATTCCGCTAGTCAAATTTTAATTTTTAATATGAAAGAATAAAATATTAAACACACGATTTGGAATTGATCTTATCTGTATTAAATTTAGATCATATGTAGATGAAATGCAGTCAAACAGAATGTTAGTCCTTGATGTGCCACACTGGTTTTTGTTTTTTGTGGCCCCAAAAATCACTGAAAGCATAGCCTCTAGCCTAGAAAAATTGGATCATAACCTGCAGTTAGTCACTATGAGCAGGAGAAAGGCACTGCTGCTCTTATCACCCTACCCAGATTGTTTGTTTGGTGGATTCTTCCTTCAATTATTATTATTATTAATAATAATAATAATAATAGTAGTAGTAGTAGTAGTAGTAGTAGTAGTAGTAGTAGTAAAGTTGGAAGGGACCTTGGAGGTCATCTAGTCCAACCCCCTGCTCAGGCAGGAAACCCTACACCATTTCGGACAAATGGCTGTCCAGTCTCTTCTTAAAAACTTCCAGTGTTGGAGCATTTACTGCTTCTGGAGGCAGGCTGTTCCACTGATTAATTGTTCTCACTGTCAGGAAGTTTCTCCTTAGTTCTAGGTTGCTTCTCTCCTTGATTAGTTTCCACCCGTTGCTTCTTGTCCTGCCTTCAGGTGCTTTGGAAAATAGCTTGATTCCCTCTTCTTTGTGGCAGCCCCTGAGATATTGGAACACTGCTATCATGTCCCCCTTGTCCTTCTCTTTGTTAAACTAGACCACAGGTCGGCAACCTGCGGCTCCGGAGCCGCATGCGGCTCTTTGAGCCTTCCCCTGTGGCTCCCAGCCTCCTCTGCCTTTGCAGAGAGAGACAGAGATAGAGAGAGGCAATTGCACTTCCCTGCTTCTCTCTCTCTCTGTGTGTGTGTGTGTGTGTGTGTTTGTGTGTATGTGTAAAAGAGAGTGTACTCACAGTGTTCTCCGAGGAGCTGAAAAGCTTTCTGGGCGGAGCTCCTCCCTTTGCTGCGTCTCTGAAGGAAGCAGGAAGCAGGAAGGGCAGGAGAGAGCTAGCTAGCCCAGCTAGGCTGACTCAGGAATTCTGGGAGTTGAAGTCCATGAGTCATAAAAGAGACGAGGTTGCCTACCCCGGAGGTTGTTGGACAACAGCTTGAAGCTTGCCAGGTGATCAGCAGATAGGAGGGGGGGGGAGAAAGAGAGAGAGAGAAAGAGAGAGGGGGGGAGAGAGAGAGAGTGGGGGAAGAGGAGTGGCAGACCAAGGGCAGATAGAGAGGGAGGGAGAGAGAGACCCTTTTGACGTCTAAAATGAAGATAACACTGCATATATCCTTTTTTTATCTTTGTGTGTATGTAATTTTATTCTCTTAAAGCATTCTCTTGGTGATCATTGTTTTAATACTATGGGTATTCCCAAGAGTCATATTTTTACTTTTATTTTTAATTTGTATATGTGTGTGTGTGTGTGTGTGTGTGTGTGTATGCACACACACATACATACACACACACACACACACACATACCTATAATAAAGGTAAAAAAGGATATATGCAGTGTTATCTTCATTTTAGATATCAAAAGGGTTTTGCGGCTCCCAGTGTTTTGTTTTTGGTGGGAAACGGGTCCAAGTGGCTCTTTGAGTGTTTTGGGTTGCCTACCCCTGAACTAGACATACCCAATTCTAGCAACCGTTCCTTATATGTTTTAGCCTCTTGGCCCCATTCCAAACTACCATGTATTTTTCAGGCTGGGCAATGGATGACTTGTGGGGTTGCTGGAGAGGGTCTATCAGGAATTAAAGATGTGCCTGTTCCCAATGTAGATCTCATTTGAGGAGGTGGCCATGCATTTCTCTGAGCAAGAGTGGGCATTGCTGAATATGAATGAAAGAGCCCTCTACAAGGATGTCATGCAGGAAAACTATAAGCATATATTGTCCCTGGGTAAGTATTATGCCTCCTGTTGTCTCCTCTATTATTAAAACATGGATTTTTTTAAGATTCCATGTGACATGGTTTACCTAAACAACCAATCAGGCAATGAGACACATGAACAAGATTATGAAGGGCCAGGGCATTTCCATTTTAACGAAGAACATGTAAGACATTGTTTTTTTCCAGCAGTAATTTATTTTTTATTTATTATATTTTGGAACCGTCCATCTTCCTGTTTGGGAGTGCCTGTGAAAGTAGGACTCAGGGAAGGAATGGGAGAAAGAAGATTAATGCCTTTGAATTATGGATTTTTGGAGGCGATTACTAAAAGCACATGGATTGATCCACAACTGTTGATCAACCCTTAACCAAACAGAGGCCAGTTGATCCCTTGAAGCAAAGATCAACAAGAAAATGCTCACCTATGTTGACAGATGATGTGAGGGATGAAACGATAGAGTTATTATGCTTGACAAGGATGAAGAGAGAAGCAGAAAAGGAATAAAATAAAATAGATGACCAGGACCAATAAGATTTCTGGGTAACTTTCAGATATTGCCAAAGGCAAGCTAAGATGCTGAGCACTTGGTCTTAGAATCACAAGGAGTCAAGCCTGCTTTGATGTCATCTAATCAATGTTACTGAAGAAAACATACCACGTATGTTCTCCCTGATCTTTTATACGACAACCGCGTAGTATATTCACATTCCTCCGCAGTTCCTAATGCAGCATGCTGTTTATAAAGCCAGCTAAAATTGGTGTGTCCTGTTTACAGGTAGTCCTCGACTTACAACCATTTGTTGAATGACTGTTCAGAGTTAAAATGACACTGAAAAAAGTGACTTAAGACCAATTCTCACATTTACGACCACTGCAGCACCCTCATAGCCATGGGGTCAAATTTCGTGTGCTGGGCAACCAGCACACATTTACGATGGTTTCAACATGTCAGTATCCTGCACTTGTCATTTGCCACTTTCCTAGAGAGCTTTGGGCAAGCAAAATCGATGGGGGAGGCCAGATTTGCTTAACGACAACATGATTCACTTAGCAACTGTTACGATTTGCTTAACAGCCATGACAAAAAATGTCATAAAATGGGGCATGACTCACTTAACAACTGCCTTGCTTAGCACTGGAAGTTCTGGGCCCAGTTGGGCTCAACCACCTCTAATGTTCCGACTTCCTTGATATATTTTATACTCTATGTCCAGGACATGTCCAGTGAGTTCCTGGTGGTTTCCCACTTAGGGGGTGATTGGTCTCAGTCCTGCTTCATTCAGCAATATGGCTGCCATGCATGCTTTCGGAGTTTGTTCATTAGGATGAGATTTGTTTTGCTGACAGGAAAAAGAGGGGGGAAATCCTTCCCCTAGGTCAGGGGTGGGCAACCGTGGCTCTTTTATGACTCGTGGACTTCAACTCCCAGACTTCCTGAGCCAGCCATGCTGAGGGGAAAGGGAGAGGTTTCCAAGCTGAGCCATGCTGGCTCAGGAATTCTGGGAGTTGAAGTCCACGAGACAGAAAAGAGCCAAAGTTGTCTACCCCTGCTTTAGGCAGCTAATGTCCACTGACCTGAAAAAGAGGAGAAGAGCTGGGTATTATATTACACTGCAAAAGTAGACTGGCTGTTTCTGCCTCTCTCTGAGCAGGCTTCCCAATGGCTCAGGCTGGCATGGCCACCCGCACGGAGCAAAGGGACGGGCTGTGGAGGTTGAAATTTCAGGAATTTTGGAAGAACCAGTCCTTGACAAAATTCATCCCAGGTGAAGTGCGGCTAAAATAATCTGAAGTAATAATTACATTTCTACTCTACGTGTTTGGTCCTTATACATATAATAATTTGTTTATAGGGGAAAAAAAGGAAACATGCATATAGGAACAATATGTCTAACTATCTCTTATAGTAGTATAAAAACTTTGACTTTTTGCTGGTGTTTGGTTTGCAAATCTGCTGAACGTTTGATATCTCACCCTGGGTTAGGAATGCTTTTGATTCATAAAGCTGACCTTGATTCTCTGCCTTCCTGTTGTACTTCGTACATGGTCTAAAGTCCAGACACTTCCTTTGCAGGAGATATTTCTCAACCGGGAAGCCTCACCACCACACCACCTTTCGGAAGATTGCTGGGTCATTCACAAGTGACGGACTCCCTGGATTCTGACCTTCATTACAACAGAGAACTCCAAGAGGAGAAGCAGATTGTCCAGGGCAGCTTTGCTGAAACTGTTCCCTTAAGAAAAAGCATCCAGGCTGCAGAATGTCCTCTGGCTGATGTAGGAGAAAGGAAGGATTCTTGTCCTAAATGTGGGAAAACTTTCTGTCACAAATCGGCACTCACTGCTCACTTGAGAATCCACACCGGAGAAAAGCCGTATCACTGCCAGGAGTGTGGGAAAAGCTTTAACCAGAGCTCGGCCCTCACTCAACATCAGAGGATTCACACTGGAGAGAAGCCCTACGGCTGTGTAAGTTGTGGCAAAAGATTCAGTCAAAGCTCCGCTCTGACCCAGCACCAGAGGATCCATACTGGGGAAAGGGCCTACGCCTGCCTCGACTGTGGGAAGAGCTTCATTTACCAGTCAGCTCTGATTCGGCATCGGCGAATCCACACGGGAGAGAAGTGCTACATGTGTCCTGATTGTGGAAAAGGTTTCAACCAAAGCTCTAACCTGATTACACATCGGAAAATCCACAAAGGTATGGAAGGTTGGTGGACGGCCTCCTTGAGAGCATCGTTCTTCTGAAAGCAAACCGTTCCACCAGTCGGTTGTTCCAACTGTGGAACAGCTTGCCTTCAGAAATTGTGGGTTCACTGGAGATTTTAAAGAAGAAATTGGACAGCCATTTGTCTAAAATGGTATAGGGTTAGGCCCGGAGGGAAAGAGAGCAGGTTCCAAATTGGTGCGTGCGCATGCACGCCCGCAAACGGTGCTGTGTGCGCTGGCATACTGGCGGCCCTGTTTGTGCATGCGCAAATGAGCTGCGCACACTCACCCGGCGCTAGCGGCCCCATTCATGCATGTACGCATGTGTGAATGGGGCTGCAGGCACTAGTGCAAGTGGCTGGGAGTGCGTGCATGCACCGGCCAGCCATTTCCGCAGCCTGCTGGCCAAGAAGCCGTAGCCCAGCGGTGGGCCGCAACCCATAGTTTGGGGACCCCTGTTATAGGGTCTCCTGCTTGAGCAGGGGGTTGGACTAAAAGATCTTCAAGGTCCCTTCCAACTCCATTCTGTAATTCCTGTACAAGTAGTCCTCAACATAAAAAAGTTCATTTAGTGAAGGTTCAAAATTACCACAGCACTGAAAAAAAGTGACTTAATGACCACTTTTCACACAGCCGTGGCAGCATCCCCTTGATCACATGATCAAAATTCGGATGGTTGGCAACTGGCTCATATTCATGATGGTTGCAATGTCCCGCGGTTATGTGATCAGCTTTTGTGATCTTCTGACAAGCAAAGTGAATGGAGAAATCCAGATTCACTTAACAATCACTGGCCTTCTACCTGGCCAGGTGCCCTTCAGATGAATGGGGAATCCAACTCTCTTCATCCAAATTGGGAATTCTGGGAGTTGCAGTCCAACACATCTGGTGGCTGCCATTTTAGGAAAGGCTGAGTGAGCTAATTCCCCCAAAACATTGAAGATTCTTACCTCATACGCTTGACCAGTATGTTGTATAACCATAATAATAGCATCCGCCTATCCCAGGTCCTTGGGAAAGACTTGATAGTTGGATAAAAATGCTAAATCCAGTCTAAATATCTGGCTGGCTATGTGACCAACCATAATTTTTTAAATCTATATGCTGCCCAACATGCAGTGACACATGTTATTGCTCTTTTTTCTTTGCTCTTGTTTGATTAAGTGATTCTCAGCCTTCCCTCTGATATTGAAGACTGGCTGATCTAATCAGATCAATGCTATGTATATGCCATTTTTCCACTGATTTGCTCCTTACTTTGCGCCATCTAATGATAATATACATTTAATATGTTTGACTTTTGCAGAAACAATTTTTTCAGTTAAAATTTTTATTTATTTAGAAGATTTACATGTGACCAAGTTGTGTAGTTATGATTCCAAGCGATGTACACCCAATACAAATCTGAACAGAAAAACAGAGATTGCAAATAAGAAACCTTACACTCAGAGTCAAAAGAAATGAAATCCTGTAACCAACACAACAGAAATAAACTAGACTTCTTGGTTGTATGAAAGATTTTCAGAAAAATTACATCAATAAAGGATAATGTAACAGTCTAAGGGCAGGGCAGCTATCCAAAACTTTAGATCTAGCTATTTATTTATTTAATTTTTTTATTCAGATCTCTCATTTGTTATTTTTACAAATAACTCAAGGCAGAAAACATATCTAATATGCCTTTCTCCTCTTATTTTTCCCACCACAACCCTGTAAGATGGATTGGACTTAGAGAGAGAAAGTGACTACCAGGAGTAGGCAACCTTGCCTCTTTTATGACTCGTGGACTTCAACTCCCAGAATTCCTGAGCCAGCCATGCTGAGGGGAAAGGAAAAGGTTTCCAAGCTAAGCCCTGCTGGCTCAGGAATTCTGGGAGTTGAAGTCCACGAGTCATAAAAGAGCCAAGGTTGCCTACCCCTGGACTAGCCCTAAGTCACCCAGCTGGTTTTCATGGCTAAAGTGGGACTTCACCCATTTCCCACTTTCCAGCCTGGTGCCTGCTAGGCCTGCAAACAAACTACATGGTGGCTGAAGTGTAATTTTTGCCAAACTGGATATTTACTGAATTCCCAGCCAGGACAGCCATTGTTGAGCATTTGATGGAGGGGGTTTGTTTAGCATTACGTATGAAGGGCTTCATTTTGTGGTAAAATAAAAAAATCTATGAAGAAAGGGATTTCCTGGCCCAAATCTCTACTTCCAAAAGGAGTAGTTCTGTGAGATTTCATACATGAATCATCTCTGCTTTGTGGCATTAGCAATATCTTCCAATACACTAGAAGGACATAAGAATTTGCCCCTTTTTTGGTCTGCTCTTCAGGGTCTAATAAACTGGCATTTCTTACCAGTTTCTTGAGCTTGAACCCAGACCAGCATGCAAAATGTGTCCTTTGTCACAGAGAAGTGATTCCCATAGCGAGCTGTTTTTTTGCTGTATTTGTAGTTTCTACCTGACATTCTGTTTTTCTGTTTTGTTTTTTTGTCTGTTTATCCTGAAGGTAATGGAACAACCTACAGGAATGACAAAAATAATTCTGAGCTTGAAAATGGTGTGCAGTTAGAACCGCATAGCAACACTTATAGGACACTCCAGCAAGCTTGTCCTCAGAGTTCTCCCCTGGAAAAATGCCTTTTGGACTGGAAACTTTCCAAGAGAAACCCTTCAGATCAGGCCCAGGCAGCACCTGTGCTTAGCATAGGAAGTTTGATATCTCAGAAGGACACCGTAAGAAAAGTAGGCATTCCTAGGGTGAAACGGCCACTTATCTGTCACGTCTGTGGGAAGAACTTCAGATACAGCTCCCATCTGGTCAACCACCAGCGGATCCACACGGGAGAGAAACCCTATCACTGCACAGACTGTGGGAAAAATTTCATTCAGAACTCAGCGCTTAAAAGGCACCAGAGGAGTCACCGAGGTGACAGGCCCTATCGATGTTCAGATTGTGGGAAAAGCTTTAGTCGGAATGCCCATTTGGCCAAACACCAAGGGATTCACACTGGGTTAAAACCTTACGAGTGTCTGGACTGTGGGAAGAAATTCAGTGTGAAGATGAACCTCGTGATTCACCAGCGAATTCACACAGGAGAGAAACCGTACACGTGCTTGGAATGTGGGAAAAGCTTTAGCCAAAGGGCTCACTTCATTATCCACCGGAGAATTCACACGGGAGAGAAGCCTTACGAATGTCCAGATTGTGGGAGAGCCTTCCGTGTGAGCTCACACTTGGTTACACATCAGAAAATCCACATGGCAAAGACTTCTTTCATATGTCCTGACTGTGGGAAAAGTTTTAACGGGAGCAAGCAGTTCGTTCAGCATAAGAGGTGTCACGCCACTGGTGAAAAAAGTCCCCTGCCAAATTCAGGGCTAACTATTAAGAGTGAGCTCTGAATTTCCTTATTAGGAGTGAATTTCTGGTTCAATCAGCCCTTGAAGTTGAAGAGGGCATTTCTGTGTGAAGGAATCAAAGGAGGCAAAACGTCTCCCAGCTGTCTCTTCTAATGGCCAATGATGAGTCTTTTTCTGCGCACTGAGCTGGAATCAAGGCAGTTTGGACAGGAGATTTTTCTCAACTTTTAAAACTGTTGGGACAGAGTTGAGAGCCAAAGACAGACAATACCATGGTGGGCTTGGGCATGGAAAGACCTGATTTCAGCCATTACACAAACTAATCTTATTCAGAAAACTGAGAATAGATGAAGCAGAGAAAAAAGCTTGGGTCTACTCTCTTTGAATTTTTTTTAGATCAAGAACGGAGTGCCACAAATAAGATGCTGTACTAGTCCAAGAAGAGAACCATCCAGTGGAATCGTCAGGCATCTCCACCGCTTCTGAACAGCATCCAGGGTAGCAAGGAAAGGACGGAGGAACTAGGAACAGCTTGGTTTCCTAGAGAGGACACTTCTTATGATTGCACTGACTGCCAGCTTTGGCGAACAGAACGGGCACTGCTCATGGCATCCACCAAGTGGGCCTTTGCACTGAATTGAAGGAGGGTGAATTTGTGAAATACCACTAAGGCTGGCCAAGGTATTTTATTATTTGAAGTGAAGAACAAGGTGTCTGGCCCTCATTCTGTTTACACCACCCCAGCTATTTTCATAGCTGGGATTTTATTTCAACTGTGGCAATTAGACATCTTTTTGTGCTAGGCCAATAGGTGGCAGTCCAGCTTAGGGGGTAGAGGAGATTGTGGGGAGGAGGGCTGCTTGCTGCCAGAATCTGTAGAATCTGTGCATTGATGATGTTTCCTAATTTGGGTAATGAAACATCTGCAAGAAAACAACCAAGCTCAGAGAGCACCAAGGACTCCACAGTCTGTAGAATGTGTCTCCTGAGAAAGTCCGCCTAGCCCAGGGGTAGGCAACCTTGGCTCTTTTATGACTCGTGGACTTCAACTCCCAGAATTCCTGAGCCAGCTGGCTCAGGAATTCTGGGAGTTGAAGTCCACGAGTCATAAAAGAGCCAAGGTTGCCTACCCCTGGCCTAGCCTCAACTTTGCAGGCGCACAGCCAGAGGTACCAGGGCTGTATGTGGCTCCCCAAAGCCTAGCATATGCCTTCCACCTCTAAAATTTGACAGCAGATTGCAACTGTTAGTGTAACAGAAAAGGGAAGTAATGATATGTAACTAATTTAATGTGATTTTAATTACATATAAACTGCATTCAATCGTATTTAACTACTGTCCTTGCCTAACCGTTGTGTTTTGGGTGTGGACTCTGAACTGCAATCAAGAAGTCAAGCACAAACATTAGCCTGAGAAAGGGTGTGTGTGTGTGTGTGTGTGTGTGTGTGTGTGTGTGTGTGTGTGTGTGTGTGTGTGTGTGTGTCTGCTGTGCCTGAGAATAGTGCAGATCCTATTTTAATGTAATTAATGACATTAAATGAAGTAATTTCTGTCCCATGAATTGGATTCAGAAGTGTGTCTCGGGGGAGGGGAGGAAAAAACCCTCCAAATTCTGCCTCTTTCATTAGCATGACTTTATATTTTGTCTTTACTATCACCAAGAAAAGAAAAGTAGCTTCTATACATGTGATAAAATGAAGCTAATTTGGCTAACATTTAACTTGACTGGAGTCTCTATTCCCAAATCCAAAATGTTATTTTTGAACTATTACTGTATTTTAGTGTTGTAGAGGGGATGGAGATTTTTTTGGCCATTCAGGAAATTGCTTAGAGTATAGAATTTTGTGAATGCAGTTTTGTGAAAATGATCCTTTTCAGATTTTTTTTTCAATTTTTGCATATCTTTCACTATGTCGTCAGAGCTTCATGTGGGTCTTGTTGATATATAAAGGGAATCTGAGTGGACAAATAACATCAGTGTTGGGTGCTTATTTCGGTGATTTTGTAGCCATATATAACGCAGTGTACAACTTTGGGCAGTCCAGCCAATGAAATTAAAAAGGGCCAGTGGTGTGAATAATTTATTAAACAATCAGGATTGACTTGGGCCATCTCTGCTGTATAGGATACTCTCAAACGTTTGATCTCCTCTTCCTTGTAAAGTTCTCACTTCAGAGATTCTACAAGCATACCATGCCCTACCGATAGCTCAAGCTTGAACTGTGGGGTCCTTGGTACTCTCTGAGCTTCATTGTTTTCTTGTTGACGTTTCATTACCAAATTCGGTAACATCATCAGTGCCCTGCAAGAAAATAACCAAGCTCAGAGAGCACCAAGGGCCCCACAAACCATGCCCTGCTAGAAAGAAAACATGAAGACTTCTATAAAAAAAGATCTTTGATGACGATCAGCCTGGAAAAATTTATAAAACTATTTCCAAATTCCCCTAGCCCTTCACCAATCCACAATCAGAGCTGACGAAATGACTTATCTGAGACAATAGTCACTCTTATCGAGAACGACTGTTCTGCCAACATCATTACAAGAGCAGGAACTCACAAAAGAAAAAAGAACAATATCCAGTGATCTGTAGGCCTCTTACCTTGTTCAAATGAGTCCATTATTAAAAAAATAATTGTATTCATGGGAAAATAGAAAGGCATTTTATTAGCATTATTTGCCAAGAACAATACTGGTACTTAACATTGCCAAAACGCACTTGGGTGACCTTCTAGATCTTAGGAGAATTGTTTCATGGATAGATTAATAAAAATGGGATTGCTTAAGGCTCATGGGTGCCTTCACCTCTGGCAGAAACCAAACCAATTATTTTGTTGAAAATCTCACATCCATTTTCAAGCATTGCGATTGTAGCCCCAAGGCCTGAAGGTGTTATGATGCCTCAAAACCAAAATAAGCTGTGAGGAACTTCCAGTTTGATGTCGTAGTGACACTGGCGCAGAAATGCGCCCTGCAGGGCGCCCTATAAGGACCTAAAATTGCCCCAGAGAGGCAATGAAGGAGGAGAGACAGTGGTTGATCCGTTTGATCTGAGGAAGCCCTCCAAACTGGCAGGGGAAAGATTGGCTGTACTCCTGTAGCCAGCCTCCAGCTACTGACAACCAAAAAAAGAAGCACTAATTAGCAGATCGTAAACAGTGTGTTTGGAACTAAGTGAGAGTATTGATCCTTTCTTTACTATTTTACAACTGGATTTCCTGGAAAAGGCTCCCAAGAAGCTAAAAACCTCCAAATGTGAGAAGGAAGGGGATTGCAGCCCCACCCTTCCAGAGGAACAGAAGTGGCGTTTTATTTTATTTTATAGGGGACAGAAACATTTAATGCTCAAGTGGAAGTAATATAAAGCTATAGTTTTAACAAATTTGAGAACTGAGAAAATTGTTAAGATTTTCTCTTTGAAAAAATACAGGGGTGAAATATAAGAAATCAACCTTCTATTTTAAGAGTCGGAAAATGGATATTGAATGACATCTAGGGGTGGACTAGAGTATAACACCACAGCTGCAATGACTGATACAGACCTGGCAAGAAGCCTAGAAATAGATAACAACCTACTTTCTTTATTGCTTGGTGACTTTTAACTTGACAGAGAAAGCTGGCAACAAGAGAAAAATATTTTAGCATACTTACTACACTGTGATAACCTAATTGTTTTGAAACCTGTTGACCTTCTTGGATTATAAACATATACTGAGCTCTGACTTTTAATCTTAAGAACTATTTGGAGAGAAAGAAAAAATTGACTTCTGGCTACGTTTGTCTGGGGGAGGTTTTTGGATTACTCTTAGGGTGGTTGAATGTTTTAAAAACTTTGAATATTTTGGATTGTAAATTTCGGCTGATTGACAGTTTTTGGATGCTTGAGCAGAAGGAATACTACAAAATATTGTTTTCAGTGGTGGACTTATATATTGGAACTTATATATTGGAACTTATTGGATTATAAAGGCTGTATATAAAGACCAGAAGAACCAGATGAGACTTTGTCTTATGGACATTAAGACTGGTGGTATAAGACAAGATTAGTATGCGGGAATCACAACAGTTCTGATAGAATATCTGGAGGGGGGGAAATAAAATGGATCCTTTATATCTAGACAAAAATGGTAGGAAAGCATACTCCCATCTAAAGCCCCCAACCAGGTTTACCAGGGATTTGTAGAAGTCACGCCTCAAGAAGAAGTAAACATTTTTCAGAATGAAATATATTCTGTTACAATTATTTCACATAAAGAAGATGCAAGAAGAAATCATGATGAGATTAAAAACAACTTTGATAATATAAATGAGCAAATCTCTAACTTAAACTCACAACTAGAAAGTTCCCAGAAAATGACTACAAAGAATAAACAAACAAGTCAGAAAACAGAAGATGAACCAGAGGAAATTGATCTAAAGACACAAGATATAAAAGAAGGGAAACATAATTTGGCACAGACAAATAAAAATTTGCAAGATTTAACCACTACAATGGAAATGGAAAAGGCATCTTATTCTTTAGGTTTTCAAAATATACCTGTGTATAAGGAAGACGAATTTAAAAAACAGATCATAAACCTGTTAGGGGAAATGTCAGAAATTGGAAGACAAAAAATAAAAAGAGAAATTGAGGGAAAAGGAAAGTGGGAGCTTAATTAATACAACTGGGCAGAATTCCTCTTCAAAAATACCCTACTTAAATTGTTTTTCCCATTCCAAGCAGTATTTACAAAAACGAAGGAAGAATTTGTTGGTGATTTAATTACTTTGGCCTGGAAAGTTAATTGGCAAAGAAAGAAAGCTAGAGTTAGACTCAAAAAACAGAAGATCTGACATATCAGATGGGGTATTATATAAACCAATATTTGCTTGAATATGGGCAAAAGAATAGATAATACATAGATATAGATTTTTAGAATAGTAAAGATATGATTTATAATTAGAATAGTACTTTTTTGATATGGGAATTATAAAAACACTAGGATGGCTTATATAAATGAAACCTTCGGCTACACAAATATAACTAACTGAGAAAATCATAACTGACAAAGTTATTTTGAATACTAATGAGAAATTAAACAAGAGCTCGAAAAACAGGACACTGATTTAATAAGGACACTTTGTTTGCAAATACAATTTAAATATAAAGTGATTAGAAAAGAGGTTATAAATTGATACTATTATTATTTGTATAACACTAGATAAATATGAAGAGGATGTGTGTATATCTAATTTTGTATCTATTAATAGTAGTAAGTACTGTATTTGTTTAAGGTTGAGAAAATGAAAATATCAGGGGGAGACAATGGGATCAAAAAAACCCCACTGGATTGTGTAACACTGAATACATTTATACCGAAGTTAAGATGCAACATTGAGTCACAAATGTACCCAGACATCACATTTGTTTACTAACCATTTATGATTTGTAATAATAGAAAATCAATAAAACACATATAAAAAAAGACCAAGATAAGCTACTATCATTGAAGGATATAATAATATAAAGAATTCTGCTTTATACTAGAAAATATAAAAAAGCTGGCAATTTGCATGCAGCTAGATGGTCACCCTAAACTTAAAATCATGTTTATAAGAGAATGGGAGAAGAAGGAGGAAGGGAGGGAGGGAAGAAGGAGGAGGAGGAGGAGGAGGAAGAAGAAGAAGAACAAGAAGAAGAGGAGGAGGAGGAGGAGAAGAAGAAGAATCTCAGTAATGTGAAACAAGAAGAAGAAGAAGAATCTCAGTAATGTGAAACATCTGCCCAGAGTCTCCAACAATGAGCTGGGCGGTCCATATAAATTTTTTAATACATAAATCTGAACCTGAACTTCTCAGTAAAGTTGTGTAAGGGCTACAAAAAGTAAGTTATACTAGAAAAACATTCAAATACAGGTAGTCCTCGACTTACAACAATGAGCCCAAAATTTCTGCTGCTGAGTGAGATAGTTAAACACTGTCTCCCCTCCAAAAACAGCACTTTTCCATATTCATTCACCCTAGGTTCACACAATTCATTTAACCATAATGTATAAAAGTTGTGGTGGCACGGTGGTTAGAATGCAATATTGCAGGCTCACTCTGCCCAGTCAGAAGTTCAATCCTGACTGGCTTAAGGTTGACTCAGCCTTCCATTCTTCCGAGGTCAGCAAAACAAGGATTCAAATTATTGGGGGCAATAGGCTGATTCTGTAAACCAATCAGAGAATACTGAAAAGCACTGTGGGGCAGTATGTAAGTCTAATTGCTATTGTTATTGCTAGTAAACAAGCCACCATTGTCTGGGTTCACACACCACCCTAGGCCAAAAGCAAACAAATGTGAAGACTTGGTATAATGTATGAACCACATTACAGATAATGGTTGACTTACAATCATTTGTTTAGTGATCAAAGTTATAACAGCACTGAAAAAAACTGACTTATGGCCAGTTTTCACACTTAAACCGTTGCCACATCCCCATGGTCACATGATCAAAATTCAGACACTTGGCAAGTGGCAAGTTCACCGTTCCAGGATCATGTGATCACCATTTGAACCAGCTTCCAACTTCAGCGGCCCATAAAGTCACTAAAATTAAAGAAAGCTAGGCCTTATTAGGGATTTAGTTGGAGGTCAATTCTTTTTATTTTGCACATCTTCATCTTCCTTGGGGATTAAATAAAAACTGTTAAGGTTCACACATTGGCCTACACTTTTGGCAGCCAAGTAAAGCACCAACTTTATTTATCATATTCTGCTTTCTGTTTATTCAATATTCAAGCGGCTTACAGCATAGGAACTATAGCAGAACTGAATCAGACATTTTAAGTTTCAACAATATTTTGAACTATGCCTCATGACTGGCATTTCTTGATGACTATCCTAAACAACTGGAATCCCCCAGATGTGTGACTTTGAAAAAGCCCCTTTCCCACTGTTACCGTATCTTTTCGTACGTTCGGCTGCCACAATACGTTAAAAATTAGGATTTTGCAATAGCAAGTAAGCAAGTAAAAGTATGCAAATATATTTTGTGTTACATTATTCTGGGGAGATGCAAGAAAAGATGCAAGTTTCCTTGTTGCAGAATTTGAACTTAATACATTTTCTTCACCCCACTCTTAAAAGAGAAAAATTTTAAAAATCAGGGTCCTTTTAATAATGAAATCCTTTCATACAAGACATGGAATACAGGTAGTCCTTGACTTAAAACCATTCATTTATTGCCCAAAGTTCAACAGCACTGAAAAAAGTGACTTATGACTACTTTTTATACTATCAACTGTTGCAACTTTTTCGCGGTCACATGATCAAAATTGGATGCTTGTATTTATGACGGTCGCAATATCCCAGGGATCACCTTTGGTGATCTTCTGACAAGCAAAGACAATGGGGAAGCCAGATTCACTTAACAACCAGGTTACCAACTTCACAACTGCAGTGATTTACTAAGAATTGTGGCATGAGAGGTCATAAAATGGGACAAAATTCACTTAACAACTGTCTTGCTTAGCAATGGAAAATTTGGGCTCAATGGTGGTCGTAAGCCGAGGACTACTTCTACATTCTTTGCTATGTCTGTTTTTACCTTGGCTTTCCTTACTGCAAACATTTGGACTTTCTAGCAAGATTTCCAGAATAAGCCCTATATTTATCTTTTTTTTTTTTTTTTAAGCATCTTGAGTAGCTACTCAGAATCCCACCCACTACATTTCCTACTGAGAATAGTTTAAGGCTGTCTCTCTTTCGTGGATTTTCCGATGCTTGGTAAGATTTGAACTTACACTAAAATTTCTACCACACTCTGGGCACGTGTAAGGTTTCTCTCCCGAGTGTACTCTGTGATGAGTGATCAGATGTGAATTGTTACGGAAAGTCTTCCCGCACTCAAGACACGTGTAAGGTTTCTCTCCTGTGTGAAGTCTCTGATGACCCACCAGGACTGAACTGTAAGAAAAGCTCTTCCCACATTCGGGGCATGTGTAGGGTTTTTCTCCTGTGTGGATCCTCTGATGCGTCACCAGGTGGGAGTTTGTATTGAATTTCTTGCCGCAGGTGTTGCACTGATAGGGTTTTTCCCCAGTGTGAATTCTCTGGTGTATGATGAGGTCTGCACTGCGGCAGAAGTTTTTGCCACACTCCAGACACAGGTAGGGCTTCTCGGTCATATGGATTCTCTGATGACTCAGAAGACCAGACTTCACGCTAAAAGTTTCAGGGCAGTCGGAGCACTTGTAGGGTTTTTCCCCGGTGTGAGTCCGGAGGTGCATGACCAGGGTGGAGCGTCTTCCAAAGCTCTTCCAGCAGTCCTGGCACTTGAAAGGTTTCTCGCCGGTGTGGGTCCTCTGGTGAGTCACCAGGGTTGAACTCCGACTGAAGCTGTTCCCACAGTCAAAGCATTTGTAGGGTCGTTCTCCTGTGTGAGTCCTCTGGTGCATGATCAGGTTGGAGCTGCGGCTGAAGGTTTTCCCACAGTCGGAACACTTGAAAGGGGGTTCCTGGGAGTGAGTCCTCTGGTGCCTGTTGAAGTTCAAGATCTGATTAAAGCTCCTCCCACAGTGAGGACAATAGTAGGGCTTTTCTCTGGTGTGGCTCTTCTGATGGGCAATGAGGTGGGTGCTCTGGACGAATCCTTTCCCACACTTGGTGCAGGTGAAGGGCCTGTCTCCCGAGTGGAGTTTCTGGTGTCGGACAAGATCTGAGCGGCGGCAAAAATTCTTTCCACAGATGGAACAGTTGTGCTTCTTCTGGACCACATGTTCCTCAGATGTGTTCTGCATTTCTCTAAAGTCATTCAAGTGGGGATTGTGCTGCGGTATCTTCTCCTCTTCTTCCTGTTTAAAGGTCTTCTTGATCTCCTGGGTCAACATTTTAACAGCTGAAGATAAAATAGATGAAAGATGTTATTCTGTGCTAGGAACCACCACAGTGTGATCTTTCCAATCCCACATTTTCTGATTTCAAAAGATCTCGAGCATATTTATGCTTTTACAACTCTGGAGACTCGTTCTTATCAGACACATACGTTGTTTAGGTGACATGGAATGTGGCCATAGTAGCAAATGACAATTATTCTCTAATTTAACATACATGAAAGTCAAGGTGGATTTCAGCTGTTGGAAATGCAAGAGAGCAGAAATCTGTAAGACTTAGAAGAAGGGGCCCATAGGAACTGGTTTATAGATTGGGAATATAGGTAGTCTTCGCATTATAACCATAATGGAGTCTATCCATTACAGTTGTAAATCATATCAGTTGTAAAATGGAACGGTCATGTTACTGACCAAATTTTATACTGTTTTTTGTGGCACTTTTTAAGCAAACTCATTGTTCACTAGGGCTCACTTTTGCCAAAATTGAAGTAAGCATCAATTTTCAGCAAAACCATCATAAAACATGGTCACAAGACCACAGGATGCTGCAAACATCCATAGATAGAGCCAGGTTGCCAAGCACCCAAGATGCAGTTGTGACTGTGCCAGGGAGGCAACCATTTGAACTTCGTACCCATGTCATTAAGTCCCCTTTTCCAGATAGGTAATCATTTTGAAGGGTTGCTATGTGACTGGTCATAACTTGAGAACTACCTGTACTAAGGTATCAGCTATGACAGGAATGCTTCTATTCAACCTATAGATAGTGCTGTAATTGCATATATCTTGGCTAGATTATTGTAATTATTGTTTTGTGCCACCCTGGAAAACACTTAGAAAGTTTTATTAAACTCTTGAATAGGATAAAGTACTGGTTTCATATAACTGTTTTACTGTAACAGTTTTAATGACTGCCAGTTTGTTTGTGAGTGTTGTCAAGCTACAGCAGGGGTGTCAAACTCACAACGTCACATGACGTGTCGTGATGTATCACAACTTTTGTTCCATTGCCAGCAATGGGGTGGGCTCGGTTTCGGCATGACACATCCGACCTAGAGGCCAGCAGTTTGACACCCCTGAATTACAGAAGTGGTATTAATACCCACATGAATCTGACTGTCTTTAAGACCGTCCATTGTGTCCTAATGTCAAAAGGGGCTTTCTCTGTGACAGCAATCAATCTGCAGAATTCTCTATCTCAAGACATCACATGATTTATTCTCTGCTTGCATGTTACCAGTAACCCAAAATGTTTTATTTAAATAACTTGTTGACACTTTTGTTGACACTTTACTGCCTGTTGGCCAATTTAATTTACTGCCCGTTGGTCTTGTCTATTTGTAGTGTTTTGATGCTCCTGTTGTTGTCATGAAAGGCTACAGTATTGCTCCCTTTATTCCAGTGGTTCTCAACCTGTGGGTCGGGACCCCATTTGGGGTCGAACGACCATTTCATGGGGGTCACCAAACAACGCAGTCTGCCATTTTTTTCCCTCTTTTCCTTAGCTGTGCTACTCCCTTTTATTCTACTGGCTTTTGAAAGCCAATAGAATAGACTCTCTTGAATAGAGTCTAATTCTATTGGCTTTCAAAAGCCAATAGGAATTGTCCAGGCTGTCTCTGCCCTGCTGAGCCCACCAAAAGTCCCATTCTGCAAATGGTGCTGCACCAGTTGAGTAGTCCTCGACTTACGACCAGTTGGGGGTCGCGGCATTAAAAAGGTTGAGAACCACTGCTTTATTCCAATCTGCAAGTTACTGTAACAATTGGTTTTTGAAAGGACAAATGTGCAACAGGCTTTCATCCACAGTTGATATCAACTCTGGCATAATGCTGTAGAACTTTTGTCACTATTGCATTCATGTGGCTTAATTGATGGCTGGACTGAGCCTATCTCCAGGTTTCCAACCTACACATGAAACAGCTGACATTATCTTGCTAATGATACCTGCTTAATTGAAACATATCTAGGCTGTGGACCAGGCCCAATGAAATAGTTTAGAAATTTTATATCACTTTCTTCCAAATAAGAAACTGGTGGGTCATTATAATAAATTAATTTAGCACTGGGGCTTTTTATGAAACTCTGGCCTCAACACTGGGCAGTATGTTACTTAAACATGTTAGTCAACTGGACCTATTTTCATCTAATCACACTAAACCAAAATGGGGTTGGAAGATATCTTGTACCCAAACCTTTCATAATCTCTGACACTCTTTTCTGCGCTCTTTCCAATTCCTCAATTTCTTTGTGATTGTAGTAACCAGAATTAGATACAGTATTCTAGTCTAACCAATGTAGAATAGATCAGAGCTAACCTTTCCCTTGATCTCAACACTGTATCTCGCTTGCTGCAGTCTAAGACTGCATCAGCTCTTTTGGCAGCTTCATCACCTTGCTGGCTATGTCTAATCTGTGATCAATGCCCAGATCCTTCTCTTAAGTACTACTGCCAAGCCAGGTGCCACTTATCTTGTACTTGGGGATCTGGTTTTCCTACCTAATGCAAAACTCTACATTTCTTCCCACTTAAACTGTTCATGTTTCTCAGATGCTATTGAGCACTCAGTCTGTCTTTTGCGGTATTAACTATCCTTTGCAGCTTTGTGTCATTGCAAATGGAATGAGCATCGCTTCTAAACCCTTGTCTAAATGATTTATGAAATGTGGATGAGCTCCAGGCATGCAGCCTGAGGTATTCTACCATTGACTTCTTTGTGACATAGTACACTGTGGCAATCCAACCACTGCACTTTTTCAATCATGATTTATATTTTATTTAATTTATATTCCACTTTTATTATTTTCAGCATACTTAATATTCCTTCCTCCTCCTTATATTTTCCCCACAACAACAATCCTGTGAGGTGAGTTGGGCTGGGAATGTGACCGATCCAAGGTCAGCCAGGCTTTCATGCCTAAAATCAAGCTCACAATTCCTAGCCTGGTGCCTTAACCTCTAGACCAAAGTGGTTCTGGTCTCAAACTCAAACACTGTCCAACAAATCACGGCTTAGGGAGATCAACCTCCTGAAGAGGGCAGAGGGTCAGACTCGCTTTAGACAGGGCTGTAAAGCACTATGAAGGGATATATATAAGTCTAAGTGCTATTGCTATCTTTAAAATCCCTCCCAATCCTTACATTCAATGATTCTCGGAAACGCGCAATCCCAGAATGTTGATTGCCTCTCTCTCTATCCAGCCCAGATCAGATTGGGAAAGGGGTATAAGTTTATTTATAATTCTCCCTCGGCTTTCTCCCCATTTCCTGATAAAACCCCATTTCCTGCCCAGCTGATTCCTTACCTTTTAATCGCTTTGGGTGTTCGACAGCCGCAGTCCGTCTACACAACGGCGCAGGAAGAATGTAATGGCTGCCGCGGCCCGCGGCCAGGTTTTCACTCCGGTCGGGGGAGGCGACGCCGCGGGACTCCGAACCGGCCTGCTCGGCTGGGGCGTAGGACTGCAGCAGTTGCCGCGTACCTCCCTCCGAGGTTTCCGTACAGCGTTCCAAAATTCTTGCCCGAAAAGCTCAGCCGCCGATCCTTTGGGAACACAGCGAAGGAAGGGGCGCCTGGCCTCCCTTCGCCTCTTTCTCGGTAGAACCCGAGCCCTCTGCTGGCCGCTGCCCGTCTGCACAATTTGACACTCATGGCTGAGCTTCCAGATCCAGGGGGCGAGTCCGTTCCGCTAATGCAGGGGGTAGGCAACCTCGGCTCTTTTATGACTCATGGACTTCAACTCCCAGAATTTTGGGAGTTGAAGTCCATGAGTCATAAAAGAGCCGAGGTGGCCTACCCCTGCGCTAATGGAAAGACAGGCCCGTTTAATTGTCGGACGGATGCAGAAAGACGCCTGCTCTAATGCGGCACGGAGCGTGTGAAGCGCAGCTCGACGCTTGTACGATCTGCAGCGACAAAGCTTCAAATGCCCAACCTCATTCCCACCATCTAAAATCGCAAGGTCTTTTGATGCCCGAAGTTTGATTTATTTTTATTTTTCGGGAATTGTTTTACACTTCTCAATCGTACCTGCAGACTTTTGATCATCCAAGTACTAATCAGATTTGACCATAATTAAACCTTATCAAGAGCAGCCAAAATTGACCAGAGGCTAACAAGCGTTTCAGCTTGTAGGGATAAAATCCTTAGCCTCCCAGAAAGTTTCCATGAGACCAGGTGTACTTTTGACCCTGTATACCATACTGCACCAGTTACCTATCTCCAAAAGAGTTTTAAACTAGAAATTTCTTCTTTTCCAACAGAATAAGCAATGCTTCTTTTTCATAGTTTTATTTTTAAATCCTAACTTTCTAGCAAAAAAATTTCAAGGCCTTTTATAATTTGGTTCAAAACTATAGAGCATTATTAAATCTGTATTAATTAAAAGACACCAATACAGAAAAATGCAAGAGCCCTGTCAGACCAGAGACTAACATCCAAAGGATATTCTTTCCCATCCTAGCCAAAAAAATGTTTCTGTGAAGCTCAGTGTGCTTTTGCACACTCATCTCCTCTACAACTGATATTCAAATAGCCCTTTCTTCCACAAACTTGTCTAATTCCCAGCTAAAGCTGTATGAATGAGGGACTGTATCACCACATGCCTTTGTTATGTTTTGTGAGAAATATTTCTCTTTGCCTGCATTATCATGCGAGGTTAAATGTCTGCAAGTTATACATTTGTACAGGGAAAAAGAAAAAATGATGTGTTTGCTTTCTCCAACCCATGAATCATTGGGCATGCATTCACATTTGTTTTGTTTTTTTCAAACTGAAAACTTTGCCTGCCTTCTTTTGCACTAAGGACCCCTTTCAAGATTTAGCAGTAGTGTGTTATGGGTCTGTATAACTGTGTTAAGGATATGATGGCATAGTTTCATTTTTCAAATCCTTTCCTAAGGATGTTTAGCAGAATTCATCTTTTGCACACCATCAATATTGCAGTTACATCTTAAATGGACTCCAGAAGATGGTAGGGGACAAGAAGACCTGGAGGAACGTTGTCCATGGGGTCACGATGGGTCAGACAAAACTTCACAACTAACAACAAAAGAATCTTTTTCCTGCCCAATCATGGACATCCTAGAGCTATCGCTGTTTAAGTGAAGTTTGGGATTTGGGGACAAGGATAGGTTGCTCTATATTAATATCCTTAATCACCATAAACTGCAATTGCCAGTTACTTTCCATCATAGATTAGTAAGACTCGTTTGAACCTTTTCCCGATTCCTATTAGTTACACTTAGTTAAGAAATGGGCCCTCAAACAAATTTTCAGCTACTCTTAAAGAGTTTCTGATTTTATCCGCAAACTTTTCCGCTGTCAATCCTAAAAATAGCGCTGTTTGGGGAACCGTGCTGGTGCCAAGATGCCCATTAGCACGGAATTTACCAAGCTTTTAGCCCATCATAGAGATTCGCAATAAGCCTCTCTCGTCCCTTGCTTTCCATCGGGATAGGATGCGTTGAAGCCAGCAGAGAGCAGTGTGAGGTCGCACAGAGGAGCAAAACGTATTCCGCTTCCGGAGAATTTGCACGGGCGGCGTTTCTTCGCGCGCCTTCCGCGGGGAAGGGAATTCTCGCGCGAGGCTCGCCGCCCTTCTTCTGACGTCTCACTGCTTGCAGCTGGTAAGAGTAGATCGAAATAGATCGAATAGGGCGAAAGGAGATTCGCTCGAGGGAGCCGCGTTCCCAAACACGAGGCTTTCTAAGAACAAGAAGGCGCTAAGGAATGTGTGGGTCAGTGCAATCGAGCCCGTTGGCGGACAAATGGGGAGGTTGAAAGAAACAGAGCGGCTTGAAATAACTTTCCACCCATCCTGCATCCCGAGGAACAGTTTCCTCCAAACTGATGCCGTCAAAATGCACTGGATTTATATTGTTTAATCACCCAGCTGGGAAAATCTGCCTTAGATGTTACAAAAAACCTTTAGCGATCTGGAGATAGGGCCCTCCAGTCAGTGCGCTTCGCCTGAAAGCTAAATTATACTGTTAAGTGTTTTAGGGACGAGGTGATACAGCATGTGTAACGCGGTGAAGTAAAAGATCTGGCCAATGCATTTGCCCAATTTATTAAACTTTATTGTATTAACCAAGGTTACTTCACAGTTAGGTGTTAGTGGCACCCAGCTGACTGGGGCTGATGTCTGAATGGGTGGGGAACTCTTAGGGAATTCCCAGATTAGTTGGCTAGTTGTGAAAGTTGAAAAAAAAAATGAAGAAAGTGAAGTTCACTGTCAACAGCATTGTCAAGACAGTTGTGTGGAAGAGATCACCAGGGGTCAAGTTTGATTGGAGGAGATTTATTGTACCAACCCAATCCATTTGTTTAATTCATTTTGTATTTTGTAAATCCAGAAAATGGGTTAATTCAATAACCGAGTTAGTAGGTTGTGTCAACATAGCCACTAAGTCCCATGCATGCTGTTGATGCCACATTCGTATGACTTGGCAGAATGGGGTTAAGCCCAACTGGGAAGCTTTATCCTAGGAATGGGATTAAATATGTACAACTCTGCTCATAAGGCAGCCCGCTTTTGAAGTTGGTAGAGCCTCAATGAGTCCTCGACTTATGACTATTCATTTAATGACAGTTTGAAATTACAATGGCACCGAAAAAAGTGACTTACAATCAGTCCTCACACTCACAATGTATGACAGGTTGTAGTGCCCTGGGGTCATGCGACCGCCATTTTTGACCCTCCCAGCCAGCTTCCAACAAGCAAAATCAATGTGGGAGGCTGGAGCCACTGAATGACGATATGATTCACTTAACAACTGCCGTAATTCACTGAACAGTGGCAAAAAGGTCATAAAATAAGGTGTGACTCGTTTAACAACTGCCTTGCCTAACAACAGAAATGCTGATTTCAATTACAGATAGTCCTTGACTTACAACAGTTCATTTAGTGAACGTTCAAAGTTACAATGGCACAGAAAAAAGCGACTTATGACTATTTTTCACACTTATGATCGTGGCAGCATCCCCATAGTTCAGGGGTCTTCAAACTTGGCCCTTTTATGACTTGTGGACTTCAATTCCCAGAATTCCTCACCCAGGCACGCTGGCTGAGGAATTCTGGGAGTTGAAGTCCACAAGTCATAAAAGGGCCAAGTTTGAAGACTGCTGGCTGAGGAATTCTGGGAATTGAAGTCCACAAGTCATAAAAGGGCCAAGTTTGAAGACCCCTGCCATAGTCCCATGATTTACATTTGGATGTTTGACAGCTGGTTCATATTTATGACGGTTGCAGTGTCCCTGGTCATGCGATCACCTTTTGCGATCTTCTGGCAAGCAAAGTCAATGAGGAAGCCAGATTCACTTAACAGCCGTGTTACTAATTTAACAACTTCAGTGATTCTCTTAACAAATGTGGCAAGAAAAGTCATAAAATGGGGCAAAACTCACTTAACAAATTTCTCACTTAACAACATAAATTTTGAGCTCAATTGTGATCGTAAGTTGAGGACTACTTTAATAATCAATAGAGGCCAACTGTAAGGGTACCCTTAGCAGAGGCTTTTCCCTCCACACAGAATTAGGGGTAGAGAAGATTGATCCACCAAAAAGCATACAGACAAAAGTTAATATATGCATATTTACATGTACGGGCTGCACTTATACAAACATAAAAGAGATGACAAGCCCCACAAAAGATATGGGGTTGATTAATTTGTTATAACATGGATGTTAGAATGATTCTAACTTCCTTTAAATTCTTTGTTGGAATGCTTGCCCGTGATTAAAAAAAACCCCTAAATTATCCTCACATTTCTCCACTGTGCTTGCCTTATACTAGGACAGAAATCTTACTCTGAAGAGTCTTCAGAAATTGTGATTCTCCCATTATTTATTCTGCATTCAGAATTGCAGGACAGAATTCTATAAACCAGTCCCACATACTTTTCACAACCAGCATGTAAGGTAAGTCTCTAATTAGGACTACCAATATAATTATGCATTAGTTAATACATGTGGTGGTCTCCCATGGAGAATGAGACACGCAGACAGGTATCTCGGGATGAGAGCCCAGAGCTGACTCCAGCACCCTCTTTTATTGTTACTAAGGTTTTTACATCACACAGCATAATCAAAAGACGTATATAGGGGTGGTTACAATGTATCAAATAACAGACACTCTCCAGATACAAGGCTACTGCAGGTGTTCTTATCAGAGTCTGTCCAAAAGGCTGATGAATGTATCCTGTGTCTGAAACAGTTATCTCAGGCCCTTGTGGGAGATGCCCATGGATAGATGCCCATGGACATTTGTGCAATTAGTCCCACATCTCCTGCTTTTCTGTTTTTTCAATGTTACTCACTTCCAGTTCCAGAAGGGATCTTGATTCACTGATTAAGGCGTCCTTCCTAGTGGAGGGCGTAACATTTTTGCACATTTGCAGGAGGGAGGGAATACATTGAATGCAACAACATAGCAATACAAATAATATCAAAATGGTTACTATAATAGAAATCAAAGATCGTAGCCAGGATCCATCCGGTAGCCAGGACCAAAGGGCACCCCAAATATCCACGGTGCCTGATCCATCACTGCGTAAGGGATTATTCTGGAGCATAGATTCCATTTTCTTTGCTGTAGCAGAAATATTAGGTTGAAAATCATGTATATACATACAACAATGAGAATGAATTAAAGCACATACACCGCCTTTTGCTGCTAAAATAATATCTAAAGCATACCGATTTTGCAAAACTACTTCCCTTATTTCCCCCATTTCTTGATTAATCATTTTAATGCTGTTAATTGTTTCATTAAACATATGAACAGTCCAATTGTTAAGCAAATGAAGGTCTCTATAGTTCATGGCAACTCCTAGATTGGGTAGAATCCCTCTGCTGATTTGAGTCTCTAAACTACCACTCAATGTTAGGGGTGGATCCGAGGAACCAGTATCACGTTTGTTCCGCAGGCGTCCATCAGGGAGATGAGGCAAAGCATATACAGCAGGAGTCAAAAGGCCCAATGTACAGGTGCCTTTCCAATCCTTAGGCACCTGGCGATAGGCTCTACGGCCACATAGTAGCCACATATCGGGTAACTCATAATAACCCTGGTGAGACTCATTAGCAAATGTTATTATGGATTCCATGTCAAGGCAAGCCATGTAGGTACTGATGTTTGTCCATTGATTGCTTTGATAAGTGTCATTTACCTTAGTAAGGTTGCTTTTGATGGATTTACATTTCTTTGCTGAATTCCATATAATAACTTGTTGACAATTACTATAAGTTCCCAAATAAATGGCAGTACGGAATAGTCCTGTGCTATAAAAACAAAATCTGGCAGGTTCCATTATACGAGCACCCACAGCATATGTCATATTCAATGTCTCTGTAGTTATGCTCCACAGCTGCTTCCATCCTGTTTCATTGAACGGGATGGCATGGAAAATAAGGCCACCACGACTGTCACCAGGAATTTGCATGCAGATCCAACAGTTCGTGACGTTAAGTGTAAGAGCAGTGCGCCTGGCATCCCGTACAAAAGCATTAAAAGCCCACAGTCCCTGATCCTCATATGCCTGGCTGAGGTGGTGTACGTTGAGCCATATAAGGACGAACACAACGAGCTGGAGTCCAAATGATCTCGCCATGGTCGTCTATTGGAGCATAGCCTCGACCCCAAGTAATGAGGGAGGCAGGCCCTTTCCAGGTGGGATCAGGCAAACGTCGATAGTATACCTGGGGGCGTGAAGAATCTGTGGGAGAAGCAGAAAAATGCCTGCTTGCGGCAGTTGAGCCAGGGGTGCCAGAAACATTCAAAAAGTTTAAGGTAAAAAGTACAAGATTAAGAGTGTTTTGTATCCCAGGCAAGCCGGGGGTATTTTCCCCTTTCTTTTTTGCATGCATATCTAGAGCCCTTTTTACGGTCTGATTGGCTCGTTCCACGATCGCTTGACTAGTGGAGTTATATGGAATGCCAAATTTATGAATAATAGACCAGCGAGAGCAAAACTGCGCAAAGGAGGTGCTGGTATAAGCAGGAGAGTTATCAGTCTTAAGTTCTTTTGGATTGCCCAGGGTAGAAAAAGTACGAATACAATGATTAATAACATGTTTAGCAGACTCACCCCTTTGAGGGGTGGCCATAATAAAACCTGAATAGGTGTCAATGGAAACATGCAAATATTTCCAAGGGGCAAATGGTAAATATTGCGTAACATCCATTTGCCAAAGTTGACAGCTCTGCGTCCCTCTTGGGTTGACCCCTTGAGGAACAGAGTGTGCTTGGAGGCTGCAGGTGGGACATTGTTGTATGATAGCCGCAGCCTCCGTAGCTGTTAAAGAAAATTGTTTCATTAAAGCCTTCTTATTTTGATGAAAATATGAATGGCTGTCCCATGGAGTTATGGGAGATAAAACAAGGACGGAAACGTCCTGGTGAGTGGAGGCGGCCGAAGCGGCAGCATCCGCCTTGGCATTGCCTTCGGAGATAATACCAGGGAAAGGTTGGTGACTTCTAATATGAGCAGGAAAAAAACAAGTAGAGCGGGAATGAAGAAGGGATTGAAGTGTGAGAAATAGACTGAGGAGAGAGTCATCCAATGAGGGTGACACATATGAATCAGATAAAGAGGTGAGAACTTTATATACATAAAGACTATCTAAAATAAGATTAAAAGGTTCAGAAGAAAAAGTTTGTAAGGCCAATATTGTAGCAGCAAGTTCAGCACGCTGAGCAGAAGTTTGAGGAGGAGTAATTTTTGTGTGCCATTGTTCACCCTCCTTCCATACACATGAACCATAAGTCTTGCTACCATCAACATACAGGGTGACAGCATTAGGAATGGGAAAGGAGGAAATGGGAGAATGCAGAGAAATTGAAACATTATTAAGGAGTTGGAAGCGAGGGTCAGAGGGAATATGACAGGAAACAGATCCTGCCCAGTCAGCAAGAGAAAGTTGCAATACTCTGAAGAGTATAATTGAAGCAAGTGCCTTGGGGTTGATTCCCCTTTTGGATTGCAGCTGCAAGAGTGTCCATTTGAAAAGCATTGGTTCCCACAATGCGACAGGCTTTAAGAAAGTCTGCCAGAGTGGCCGTGGGACTGGAAACAATTGGTTTAAGAATGGACTGGCAGTCTGCATTTGCATATTCATAAGCCAATTTTATGAGGATTTCATTTGCTGCATCTCTGTTTGAAATTTGATGCTCAATGGCAACTTGCAGGCAATTCACAAAGTCTGCATAGGATTCAGTTGCAGTTTGGTGAATGGCAGAAAAAGATTGAATCGGGGTTCCAGACTCATCAACACGAGCCATGGCAGAAAGAACACAAGCATTAATGATAGGAAATGCAAAGGGAGTAAAAGTTTGAGCTTGAGCATTAAGGGTAGTAAAATTGCCTTCTCCAAAGAGTTGTTCTGCTGTGTATTGTGAACCTGGGTGATTAGCTCTCTTTTGTGCCTCTCTTTTATATTCAGATTCAAAGACTATGTATTGTGTTCCGTTAAGAAGCATGCGGAACAGATCTTTCCAATCTTGAGGCAACATTCGATATGCACTAGCAATTGAATGTATTAGTCCTCTAGTATAGGGACTGGTTATGCCATAATCTTTTGTAGCCTTTTTCAATTCTCTGATCATAGCCAGGGGAAGTGCCTCCCAACCCACTATTAACCCTGTAGCAGTCTGTTGGTAATTAACAGGGAACAACTCTGTCTCGGATAGTTCAGAAACGCTTAAATCACCATTGTTTAAAGCCTTTTGAAATGCACCACGGATGATTCCAGGAGAGAGAGAGAGAGAGGAGAGAGGAGGCAACGTGGCAGGAACAGGAGAGGTTGTTTGCTGTTTATCAGAATCCATAAAATTTGCAGTGGCAGAAGGAGGGTTAAAACCTGCTCCAGGGGGCAAGGGAGTGGCCAACATAACAGACGGATTTTTATACGGTGGAGGATCTAATAAAGGCTGATGAGGCGAGTCAGCATAGGTTTGAATCAAAGTATAGGCAATTTTCCAAAGGCATAAAATCTCTACAGGGGCTTTTGGAGACTGGTGGAGAATAGTACCAACTTTCCTCCATGTATCTACTTTTAAAGATCCAGACTCCGGATAGGATGAGCAGTTAGCCCAAACGTAAGCAAGCAATTTGACAGCCTCAGATTTAGAAAGGTGACGGGTTAATTTCTGTTCCTGATCAGTAAGATATTTTTTCCTGCCAAGTAGCCTCAGCTCTTCCACATGCTGCTTTTGAGCGTGAGACATTCCACCCCCCATACTTACGAAGAGGAGTCAGTTGCCAGCAACTTCGTCGGGTGCACCAAGCCTATTCCAGGCGATAAGTAAAGGGTTGGCAGGGACGTATCCTTCAGTGGATCACGTCGGGGTCACCAGATGTGGTGGTCTCCCATGGAGAATGAGACACGCAGACAGGTATCTCGGGATGAGAGCCCAGAGCTGACTCCAGCACCCTCTTTTATTGTTACTAAGGTTTTTACATCACACAGCATAATCAAAAGACGTATATAGGGGTGGTTACAATGTATCAAATAACAGACACTCTCCAGATACAAGGCTACTGCAGGTGTTCTTATCAGAGTCTGTCCAAAAGGCTGATGAATGTATCCTGTGTCTGAAACAGTTATCTCAGGCCCTTGTGGGAGATGCCCATGGATAGATGCCCATGGACATTTGTGCAATTAGTCCCACAAATACAGTATTCTTTATTACAGCCATGATATGCCCCCAGATGCATTAAAAACATTTCTTCCAATTTCCCTAGAAAATTGTCATTCTAGATGATTCTACAGAGAGAAACACCTGCTAAATAGGATGATGAGCATATTTTATATTCAGGATGTATGATGATGATGATGATGATTTGCAAGATCCCAAGAATGAGGGAGACGAAAACTGACAGTGATTCCCCCTTTCTTTTTTCTCCACTTCAAATCTTTTTCAGGTGGCCAAAAGCCTTAGAGGTCCATTTGAAAAACAATTCTACTTTTGTATGGTCGCAAGTGGTGGGGCTGAGGAGACTCATATGTGTTACAGCTGGGGTTGAAGCAGATCATTTTGCACTGTAACTCTAGCATCAAGTCTCTGCTCTGGAGGATTCATGGTTCTAGAAACAAATGTTAGGAAATATATAGTGGCACATCTGGGAACTTTGTTTCTGTGGGATTGTCACCAATCAAATTTAGCTCTACGGAGGGTGGACAGTGTTGAGATGTAGGTCAGGAGTTCTCCCTCTGGTTGTTTGCTTTTCATTTAGTATAAGATTTTGTTTTTGATCACTTTAAATCTACTCTTAATTCTAGGCAGTTGAGTGAGAGAAAGGTGACAGAACTATGCTAGTAATAGGTTTATAGAAAAAAAATGGAGAGTAATGTTAAAATGTGACCTGGATGCTGAACAGGTAAAATCCAAGATTGGTATCTGGAGATTACATTTCCTGAAATATGTCCCTATAGTCATTAGAAGTTAAGTTTGCTTCAAAGAAAATATTAATCTATATCTCTATACCGGCTTATTCACAATTGGATAGAGCAGAGGTAATCATACCCTAATACAAACTATATATTTTGGATGTAATTCCCTCAGTCCCTTGCTCTTGACCTTGCTGGATGAAACTAACAGGACTAAACCTGATTGCCTGAATATGGGAACTAAGGGAATGTGGCAATGTATTTCAAACTAAATTGACTTTCTGAATCTTTGCCACTAAAGTTCCTTTATCTGAATTCTCTATCTTGGCAGGAGATCACAGAGGAAGGCATGTTTCCATCTTCTCCCTTTCTGGCAATGTCTAAAGGAGCGAGAGAAGATTTAATGACCTTGAATGAAAGCTAATCAAAGAAAGAAATACTTTGGTCATTACTAGCCAAAAACATCATCTTATTATTCTTTGGAAAACAAAGCCATATTTTACTGATTCTTTTTTTTTTTTAATTTCACGCAACTCTTCTGCAAACACTTAATTTTTGTTCCACTTTTTTTTAAAAAAAAAAAAATCCAATGTAGAGGGGAGTGGCTTGTTACCCATTTTTGGTACTTAGAATTCATTAAAGATTGGTGAAGAAATTCACAAGGGATTTCCCCAATGGGAGAAAAACACTTGAGGTGCCCCAGTCTTGGGGAAAACCTTTTGGGCAAGTCAGATCATTCTGAACCTCAGCAAGTCTGCACGAGAGATAATCTGTATAAATGCCTGGAATGTGGGAAATGTTTCACTCACAGTAAGAACTTCAGCACCCATCAAAGGATCCACACCGGCGAAAAACCTTACAAATGCCCTGAATGTGGCAAAAGGTACGGGGCCAGCTCAACTCTGAGTAGACATCGGAAAATCCACATGGAAGAAAAGCCTTACAAATGCCCAGACTGCAACAAAAGTTTCAGTTACAAAGCAGATCTCATCAAGCATCACCGTGTTCACACGGGGGAGAAACCTTATGTGTGTGCCGAGTGTGGGAAAAGTTTTAGTCAAAGCTCCAATTTTGTTACTCACCAGAGAAGCCACACGGGGGAGAAACCTTATGAATGTCCTGACTGTGGAAAAAGTTTTACTGTGAGCTCCAGCCTTATCGAGCACCAGCGGGTCCACACAGCTGAAAAGCCATTCTTGTGCCTGGATTGTGGGAAAAGTTTTAATCGCAGCTCCCATCTCAGTGTGCACCAGAGGATTCACACAGGAGAAAGGCCTTTTCAGTGCCCCGATTGTGGGAAAGGCTTTACCATTCTCTCCACTCTCAGTAAACACCAGAGAATCCACACAGGAGAGAAACCTTATAAGTGCCCCAAATGTGAGCGGAGTTTTCGGGTGAGCTCCATCCTGACTCAACATATTAGGACCCACACGGGAGAGAAGCCGTATGTTTGCTCCGAGTGTGGGAGGAGCTTCAGTCAAAAATCGCCTCTTATTGCTTACCAGAAGCTTCACAGTCGTCAGAAAACCCGGTAGGTGAGGGTGGGTCAAGGACTGGACCAAGTTTTGAGTGACCCTGCTACAGAAAAGGAAGGCTGGGAGAGTTGACCAGTTTTATGGAATGAAATTGGTATCTTAAGCCACCGTAGGCCGTAAGGTTTCCATTTTGCCTCTTCATCTCCCGAACCCCCAGAGCATTCAGAGCAGAGGAGGGTAGGATTGGCCCCATCTCATCACAAAAATAGTTCTCGTGGTCTGATGTAGCCCATGGCTGTACTTTTTGCCTGCAACCCAGTAACCTGCAGGCCAAACTAATCCTTGAAGCCAAGAGTGAGAAGGATTGAAGGCAACAAAATTGCTCATCCAACTCCTACTGGGCTGTAACTTTTGTGGGCGGGGGGGGGGAGAGGGAGAAGGAGAGAAAGGAAGTTGTGGTTCTTAAATTTCCTTAACTTTCCCTTTGGTGATGGCCTCTTTGCCGGACCCATGGGAGACAGGGGATGGATGTTAACTCTGCAGCCAGTGTGCATCTCCCTAGTGTTTCTGAGAATGGAAGATCCTCCACCATCTCCAGACATGTATAGAGTTATAGAGGCCCCAAAGGTTTCTCCAAAGGGTGGAAAGTATCTCCTGGCATTAGATTTCCTCCTCTGAAGGTCAACATACTTTTCTGCTCTTGGAGGTGGTCAGAATTACAACTGGGCCCCCTGGAATCCTCTCTCATTGAACTCCAGAACTTCAAGCTAAGGAATGGTTGATTGTGGTAATAATAGTTTGGGAAATGGAAAATTGTAATCTGCTTTTCTTTTCGTCCTACAGAGAAGTGTTGCTTGGCTAAAAATGGCATCCTTTCTTATTGTTTTTAAGCACATTTATGATCCAGCTGCTGTGTTCTTGACTGAGTCCTTGGGATGTTAGAAATCCAAATCCATTATGCCATGACAACCCATGATGAGTAGGATAGGAAGTAGGAAAAATACACTGTACATAGATTCTGATACTAATAAACATTTTTTTTAAAAAAAAGTTGTCTTCTAGACCAACTCAGAAATTAATTAGTGCCTTTACTGGATAGTTTGTCCAGCAAGATCTATCCCTTTCTCCTTCTCCTCATTCCTTTTGTCTCCTCCTTTCCTAATTCTCTTCCATCGAACAGCAAGAAGTTCTTGCCATACTGTGTTGGATCCTACTCTAAGATTTTCCAGCTTGGTACTCTCAAGTATTTTAGGATACAACTCCCATCATGCAAGGTTGGGAAGGCAGAATGGGAGTCATAATACAGTTTATTTGAAAGAGATCAAGCAAGGAAAAAATTAAATTTAAATGGGTTCACAGATCATTTCTACGTCAAACAGGTGTGGCCAATTAAGCATGTGTGAATATATATGTACATATATAAGTACTGGTCCTTTACAAAGTCTTTGGAAAAGCATTCACAGAGATAGAACACATTTTAAACAGATTTATTTATAACTGATAGTATCACAGTTTTCAAGAATGTAGAATGAAAATGTCCCAAGTATAAAAATTAGTAAAAAAATTTTCAGATTCCAAAGTGGCAATTGTGTTGTTATAAAGAGTGGATTACATGGCATACAATTGCCCTTAAAGAGCAACAGATCAAAACTAGCATAGGCTTCTGTGGAATACAATTCACTTTGTAGGATAATTACAGAAAGGTAAACAGTAGAATCCAAATACTTTGGTTTTCTTTCACTTCCAGTCTTTAATCTGTCTTTATGTGGATTTGATTTCCAGCTTGTCAATACGACGGTGCGCTTGCTATGCCCTGATATTCTCTGGAATAAGAGAAAATAGTTAAATACAATCATACAGTTAAGCATTTATCAGCCCTTACTGAGCTGTCTAGTCTTGGCAAAAGCATGTGAATTATTTCAGCCACATATAGGCCTCAGCTTATGACTGGTTGCTTATCAACTGAAGTTATGACCAGCCCAGAAAAGAGGACTTATAATCCAGTTTCAAAGTTATAACAGTTGTTCCTGTGAAAACTTGATGAGGGTAGAGGGGGCTGAATATGGGAAAAGTTAGGGAAGAGGGGAAGGGCAACATTCAGCCCCATTGATGTCTCTTTTGTTTTTGCTCATGAAGCACAATCAAGGACAGGTTGGCTGTTGTGAAATAAGGCCGCCCTTCATGGTCCTAACTTGGATATTGTTGGACATCAGAGAGCCTCTTTTCCATACTCAGTGTGTTTCCTGGAGATTACAATTCCTTATCAGAAAAATATAGGGTGATCATAGAGGTTCCGTATAACTATTCCACCCTCCAAATTTGGTCTCTTACATTTCTAATCCTGTTTCCTCACCAATACTTTAATTTTTTTTCCTCGTCATTTAAATTCACTCTTTTTGGGGAGGTGGGGAAATAATATAATTAGTATTAACATGATTACTGTAGTGATTATGAAACGCCATTAATTCATTTTAGTCTTTGTATGATGATAATGGATATTATCATACTAAAACTTCAGTGGAATATAAAAATCCAAAATTAAAAGTACAGTCATCTTATAAGGGGGATGGGTGGCATAACAATTTAAGTAAAAATGTAAAAAAAAAATAAAAAGAATGATCAGTTGGATCTGAAGACTGTATACAAAAATCACAACAAAATCAAGGCAGCTCTAACTATGATGCAGTAGTAGAACATCAAACGGATAAATGCTTCGCAGTCAAAAGAATATAAATAAACTAGACCTTTATTAAACCTGAAAGGATGCCCTGAGGAAAAGGTTAATGCCTCGAAGAGTCTTTTGATATTTTTTTTACATACACGAATAAATTAAAAAATATATCTTGGTATGCTTGGGGGTTGTTTTTTGTTTTTTATTTTAATAATACAATATTCTATTCTGGCAAAGTCCTGCAAACGGGCATGAATACATGCTTCCACTTCTTGCTCGTCCGCGACTCCCGGCTCTCCATCGGGCCCTAGCCGATCTCTTTAGTCGCAGATCTACCACGAGAGGGATTTCGATCTGCGGGACCTCAGCTTCAGCGGGACTTTCGGCAATCTCTCTCTGCCTTTAACGTGGCAAAGGTGCTTTCGGTTGTTCGCTTGTTTTCCTCGTCAACGTAATCTTGCTCTCCCCGTGTCCAAAGCGAACAAAAAATACGTAAATAAAATATTCTGATGTTGAAAATTGTGTTGGCCGCCAGAGGCTCTCGATTTCAGCTAGAAAAAGCAAGAGGAAGTCGCTCCCTCTTCCTCTCTGCTGAGGAACCTCCTGACTTGGCCAGAGAGCGAGCCGCGTCAGCGTCGCCTTGGAGGTCTGTTTCTCTTCGGCGGAGGCCGGGAGTACTTGAGCTTTTTCTTGGACCGACCGAAGTGAGGACCGAGGTCTTTCGCAAGCTGGGCTCGGTTAAACGCTTGAAGGTTCTCCGTGACTTAGGGACAACAGCCTTTGGGGAAATGAAAAAGGGTTGAAGGGAACGGTCTCACAGATCTGTGGTGGAGAAGGAAATGCTTTTGGAAGATAATTAAACTGGAGAATTAACGAGGATCGGTGTGTATAAAGGGCAAAGGAAAGAACATTGGGAACTCTTTTGACAAGTGGAGGGTCCCGTAGAGGAATAGATTCTATTCTATTCTATTCTGTTCTGTTCTGTTCTATTCTGTTCTAATTCTATTCTATTCTATTCTCAGACGAGTAGACAATCAAATCTGATTCTTTTGATTTGCTAAATTTGTAGATGTGTCAGAGGAAACACATTAAACCTGGAAAGACACTTGTTCAAAATCTCTAAGGAACTGGAAGCTTAGTCAGAGTGGGAGGGCAACAGCTATGATTCAATAAATCTATATTGGGAGGAGGAGTTATAAATCAATTGTCCTTTCTTGATAGAAACACACTTAGTTTATTCTTGCAATTTTTTGCATGAATGCTGAAGCATGTGAGGATTGTTACTCTCCTGTCAAAATAATAGCAAACCTTGTAACATCTTAAAGACTAATTTATTACAAATGATTTTGTGAACTGTAGTCCATGTAATTTATTTGCATTGTTAAGGTTGAAATCATAATCAGTCATGAACATTTTTGCATGTACAGTAGAAGGTTCTGAGTGTAATTTCTCATATTTCCACTTAAAAGGGGTCTGTGGGTACCAGCTAACCCAGAGGGCTTCCTGCCCAAGACAAGATTATAACTCTTGGTCTCCTGATCTCTGACCTGGTACTTTTAACTACTATACCAAACTTGCTACTCCTCATGTTAATGTACATAAGATTGCATCTCCTTTGAGTCAAGCTGAACTCTTGATGATTTTATGAACATGGCTATCTTATTTTCTTGGCAATACAGTAATACTGAAGTGATTTACAACCGCCTTCTTCCAGCATGTTTTTAGACTTCTCAGTCCAGTCTGCAGCCCTGAGATTTCCTGGCAGTCTCCCACCCAACTATCGTTCAAGTTTGATCATGCATAGGCTTTTTTAAGAGAGAGAGAGAGAGAGAGAAGTCAAGATAAGTCAAATGCATTCTATTAGTCTGCTGCTGATCCAACTGCAGGGGTTACATATAACTGTAGGATATCATATATCCTCTGACAGTGATGGCAAATCTTTTAGAGACCGAGTGCCCAAAAACTGGCCCCGCCCCCACTCCACCCCCCCGCCCCGCCCCCGCTCTGCCTCCCCATCTTCCACCCTGCCTGCCCATAGGACCACTCACCACCTACAGGGCCTGCCACAGATCGCCCAGGCAGTCCAGCAGCGCTATGGCGGCTACACCCTCTGCCCGTGCCCTGCAGCGTCAACTGCATGATGGGGTGTGAGGGCAGAGTCTTGTCTATGCTGCCTGGCTGCCATGTCCTTGGCTGCACTGCTCCGTGTGGGCCATGCTCAGGGTGACTTTTTCAGGGGGGCTGCTGAAAAGGAGGGGGTCACAGGGGGGAGGCAAGGCTGGGGCAACGGCATGTGTGCCCACAGAGAGGGCTCCAAGTGCCACCTCTGGCACCTGTGCCATAAGTTCGCCACCACTGTTCTATGATATTGTCCTTTGTCTTTCTAAGTGCCACATTTCAGCCCCTTGTAGCTCATTCTATGTATGCTGATTCTATGCATCTTACCGCAGTAAGATTTTGGAGGAATTGTATCACTCTTCATGGAAATCCCAGCTGGCCGCACATCATGATGGATGGAGTACAGTATTCCGGTTTGCCCAAATCTAGTAGCTTCCAGGTATATAAAATTAAAATTCCCAGCACACCCAGCCAATATGGCCATGTTGGTTATGCATTTAATGGATCAATAGAGGATAAAGTTAAGAAAGCATGGCCTTGTATGGTCAGGGGGTATGACACAAGCCAAAAGAGCATCTGTAGTCCAAAGACAATCCCACTACTGTACAGGAATCTAACAGCACAACAGTCACTGCAAAGAAAGCACTTCAACCCATTTAAACAGGGAAAAAATGATGGCACTAAATCCACCCTCACATTTTGCCTAGATTTGAAGCCAGTTTTATTTTACAGTTGTTAGCTGATGTTTGCAGTACAAGCCTTTTGAAAGACATCTGGTACAAAACCCTCATTGATTCTTTAGTATAGAAGGAGGGAGTTGGTAAACAAAATCTGACTTTTTGTCGTATAACAATAACAACAATAAGCAACTGTTTGGCTGCAAAACATTTAAGGTGAGTATTCAAATGATAAGATATGCTAATTTAATCCAGAGTGGAGAGTCTTGCTGAGTCACAAAGTATAAAGTCTACCTTTATTGGCTGAGCTGGTTGGGGTTGCACAAGGTTATAATTCAACAAAAGAGCCTTTTTACTTTTATCTTTAAATTGACCTTTTTTTTCAGAACTATGTCATTTCAGTTCCATTCCCCTACGTAATATCTGGTTTATTTAAATCAAAGGTGTCTTGCCTGTAGTACTTTATTTAATGAGTTGGATAGGGGAAACCTATCTGTTAAAATTATTATTTTTTATTGTCATTGATCACTTTGTCTTTACCCATTCCATTTCCTACAAGAATGGCTTGATTATGGTGGATTTAATGAAATGTACTGTATTTAAAGATAGAAAGCTACAAACCACTCAGTTCGTCTCTTAGTTAAACTATGAACTTGTCAGTTACCATATCTAACTCTGGGTAATTGAGTCTGACCTGTTAGTATTTGGCTGGGAGACTTCTGGGGAATCTTAAAGCTATAAGAAAGACTGGGGTATGTGTGTGTGTGGGGGGTGTTGTTTATTTGTTTGCTTTTTGCAGAAGGTGGCAAAGACAAATCATTTCCAATGTACAGGTTGTCCTCAAGAATTGAATTTAGTTCATGAGTTCATTTTGTACTGTGTTTTGGATTCAGCAGGAAGGTGTGGAGGAGGCAATAAAGTTGACCTATTTTACAGGTTTGCTTGAAAGAATCACCTCTGGAATGTTGCATATAGTCCTCCAAGTTCAAGAAGATGCTTTCTAGGTACCATTTATGATTTGCTTTTTTTCCCCAGGTTTGTGATACGATGTCAAAACTACTTATTTTTGCTTCCATTCCAGCCACTGAACAGAAAATGGAAAACATTTCCAAGGAGAAGAATCCAGAACAGATACAACTACACAGGAAAGTGGGAGGGATACCCCAAAGGAATAATTCCCAGGAAGAAGAAGCTTCTAAAAACCAGAAGAGAATGGGGAAACAAAATGCCCAAAACTCTGGATCCAGAAGAATAAAGTCCATTGTGCCGCAAGGAAACTCCAAGGAACAGCCAATTCAGCAAAGAAAGCGAGTGTCCAAGAAACAGCATCCCTGTCCTGATTGTGGGAAAATCTTCAACAGAACCTCTGCTCTCAGCGCCCACCAGAGAGTCCACACAGGCGAAAAGCCCTACAAGTGCACTGAATGTGAGAAGAACTTCAGCAAGAGTTCACACCTCATTGCTCACCAGAGAATCCACACAGGAGAAAGACCCTACACTTGTTTGACTTGTGGAAAAAGTTTCAATCACTCTTCCCATGTGATTATCCACCAGAGAACTCATACAGGGGAGAAACATTACAAGTGTTTAGAATGTGGGAAAAACTTCCGATACAGTTCGGATCTCATCAGGCACCAGATTGAACATGCAGGCGAAAAACCCTTCCGGTGTTCAGACTGTGGGAAATGTTTCAATCGGACCTCCAACCTCCTTATCCATCAGCGGATACACACAAAAGAGAAACCCTACAAGTGCCTTGAATGTGGGAGAAACTTCAGTTACAGCTCAGTCCTTATCAGGCACCAAAGAGTGCATACCTCTGAGAAGCCTTTTAAATGCCCTGACTGTGGGGAAGGTTTCCATGTGAACACAAGCCTTCTTACACACCAGAGAATACATACAGGAGAGAAACACTATTCATGCTCAGAGTGTGGGAAAAGCTTCAGGTGGATATCACATTTAAATAGGCATCAGAAGATCCACACTGTAGAAAAGTCTATATAAATGTGAACATTAGGAATTCACCTATGAGTTCCAATTTAAGATGCACTCTCTTTTTGGATGTTATATTCTTCTTTGTTCCTCTAACAAGATAAAATACATTATTTTAATGTATTATAAGCAACCTATGTACAAGAACATTCTTTTATAAGTTAATAAGTTAATAAGCATATCATTTCCCTGCTCAACCCGACTTTTTAAAGATTATTTTAATTAAAGAGAAACTAATAGGGATCAAAGAAACTAATGGGAAGCTGATATTTTTTATTTTAATTAAAAAGAAACTAATGGGAAGCTGATATTTTTCAAAGCACCAACTGCTAGTAATGTTCTTATTTGATGGAATGCCGTGGGTCTTATAAAAACTGTGAGAATTCTTAGAAAATAAATATAGTGAGAGGTTGTAACCTAATGTTTTGGCTGGACATGGGCTCAATCGCTTCTCTTCCACCCTGAGTCAAACATGCTAAATTGTGATGTCCCATAAAATATCTTGGGGGTTAAAATGTAATCTTTCTAGAAATGGGTATTCCATGAAGGTCCATATTTATCATGGGAATTTAGAATTGTAAGCGCCCAGAGTCATTTGATTGAGTTAGGTGGCTACAGAAATTGAATGAATGAATGAATCATCATTGTCATCCTTCAGTTTTGAGAGACTATGGTATCGTGCATGAATGAATATGTGTGTTATGGTTCTGGCTAATGAAACATTTCAAAGAACTTCCAGGCATTGATTTTCCTAAAAGTCTTTATTTATGTTACAAAATGTCGGCACAGGCATAAAGAAGGTATGCCAAGATCTAAATTCTCTTCCCCTGAGCAATTAAATTATCAGCATGTTCCCTCTCTAAATTAGCTGTCATATATCACATTATCCAATTAGCGTGAAGGTCAAAGGTTTCCTTCCTCTCTCTTTCCCGGGCTTTTCCCTCCACCTTCTTCTGCTCTGCGTTAACTCTAAAAATACCAGACAGTTCTGCATATTGTCAAAGCAAGAATATACAGTATTTGCAGTGTTGACAATGTGTTCATAATTTCAAATGGACATACTGGATTGAAATCTAATGAACTCTAGGCACTAGGCAATTTATCAATTTACCTAGAGTGTTTGATAATTTACTGAATATTTGGTTACATATTGATACATATTTATGCAATTTCCTTATCTGCACTTTTCTGTTTGAGGGCAAAATATAAAGTGTAAGAAATAGTAAGGAAAATAAATGAGAAGGACACAAAAGAAAAGCTAATTAAACTTCATTTATATCAGGTATATTATATTTCTTCATAGCTTCCTATCTTTGCAAGCTGATGGTTAATCCTGAAAGGCAGAAGCTATCAACCACTTCAGTATCTTAATTAATTCTAGAATGGTTGCTGTATCTTGTCATTCATTTAGTCTTTGAATTTGATTGCAGTCCCAGTTTTTAATAATAATAATAATAATAAAAAGTTGGAAGGGACCTTGGAGGTCATCTAGTCCAACCCCCTGCTCAGGCAGGAAACCCTATACCATTTCAGACAAATGCCTGTCCAGTCTCTTCTTAAAAATTTCCAGTGTTGGAGCATTCACCACTTCTGGAGGCAGTTTGTTCCACTGGTTAATTGTTCTAAATGTCAGGAAGTTTCTCCTTAGTTCTAGCTTGCTTCTCTCCTTGATTAGTTTCCATCCGTTGCTTCTTGTCCTTCCTTCAGGCGCCTTGGAAAATAGTTTGACTCCCTCTTCTTTGGGGCAGCCCCTGAGATATTGGAACACTGCTATCATGTCCCCCCTTGTCCTTCTCTTCATTAAACTAGACATACCCAATTCCAGCAGCCTTTCCTTATATGCTTTAGCCTCCAGTCCCCTAATCATCTTTATTGCTCTTCTCTGTACTCTTTCTAGAATCTCAACATCTTTTTTACATTGTGGTGACCAAAACTGGATGCAGTATTCCAAGTGTGGCCTTACTAAGGCATTGTAAAGTGGTATTAATATTTCATGTGATCTTGATCTATCCCTCTGTTAATGCAGCCCAGCACTGTGTTGGCCTTTTTAGCAGCTGCAGCACACTGCTGGCTCATATTTAAGTGATTGTCCACTAGGACTCCAAGGTCCCTCTCACAGTTACTACTATTGAGCAAGGTACCCCCTATACTATACTATACTATACTATACTATACTATACTATACTATACTATACTATACTATACTATACTATACTATACTATACTATACTATACATTTGGTTTTGCTTGCCTAAATGTAGAACCTTACTTTTTTCACCATTGAATTTCATTTTGTTAGATAGCACCCAGTGTTCAAGTCTGTCTAGATCCTCCTGTATCCTAAGCCTGTCTTCTGGAGTATTGGCTATTCCTGCCAGCTTGGTGTCGCCTGAAAATTTGATGAGTTCCCCATCTATCCCTCGTCCAAATCATTGATGAAGATGTTGAAGAGCACTGGGCCCAGAACAGAGCCCTGGGGCACCCCACTGCACACTTCCCTCCATGTAGATGCGGTTCCACTGAGGACCACACACTTGCAGATCATCTGCACTTTCAGCTGTCAGAGAAGTGTTATCAACATAGTCAGGTTATTAATGCACCTTCCTCCAATTTTGAATTTTAGTTTCAGAAAAATTCAAATATTTCAAGGCTGATGTAGACAGGCCAACTCTTTTAGCAGAATTAGTGGGACTAAGTTCTCAGAACAGAATATCAGTTTTCACTTTTAAGTTATTTTACTTACCAGACTCAGACTGCTACTGAACTAGCCTTTGCCTCCAAACATAAGGAAGTATTGGGATGGGAAACCCACCAAGGAACCTCCAAGAATTTACTGCATTGCTTCCAAGATAGAGAAGTCATTGTAAACACAGTCCTTTGTACCTGCCTTGCTCTGGAAAACACAGATTGCTGAGGGAATATAGAATCTCCGATTTCAGGAAAAAAAAAATCCTAAGAATCCCAGCTATACACCTCTCAGCAAATAGTGTAATATGCAAAGTCCAAGCCATCCAGGAGCCTTAGATTAATAAACATTACTCGGATACCAGTGCATTTTAATACAGGTAGAAATCTGTCTCCTAGCCACTATTGGGAGATAAAAGATAGGATCAGAGAGTGCCTAAACAAACAATCAATATAAAAAATAAACTGGAGAGTTATGTCTCTGTCTCTCCCCTCCTCTTTTTTTTTTTTCAAAAGTTCAAGATGTTCAACAAATCCTTAGCCAGGTATTTTCATACAGGAACAAATGAGTGAAAAAATATGATTCATTATGGAAACTTCCAATGTCCATCATAATTTTTTCCTTGGAATACTGTAAGGTCAAAAGGTGTTTGGAAATCAACAAAAGCAGCAAAAATGCTGATATGTAGCATATTACTCAGCCAAATGATATAAAATGAAACATTGGCCATCTATGAATTGGCTCACCCACCTGCATAAAATTTGCAAATTCCATTTATTTATCTGACTGGATGGTAATTTGACAATTGCTTTCCCTCCTTTTTAATATTTTTTATGTGGTTAAGGTGCTAACCTAGAAATCGGAGATTGGCTCAGTAACTTTGGGAAAGTCACTCTCAGTCCAGCCCGCCTCACAGGGTTTTTGCTGCAGGGAAATAGGAGGTAGGAGTATATATGCTTGCTGTTTTGAGTTATATATTAAAATGGCAGGATAAAAATATAATAATATAGGGATAATAAGTGCAAGGCATCAGACACCAACAATCTTTGATATGCTGAGATTTTTATTTTACCACAGGGATGCTTCCCAAAATAGCTCCTTCTAGTGTGGATGGAAACTTCCTTATCATTCTGTCACTTTTTAACATCCTAGATCAGGGGCAGGCAACCTTGGCTCTTTTATGACTCGTGGACTTCAACTCCCAGAATTCCTGAGCCAGCATGGCTCACCTTGGAAACCTCTCCCTTTCCCTCAGCATGGCTGGCTCAGGAATTCTGGGAGTTGAAATCCACGACTCATATAAGAGTGGAGGTTGCCTACCCCTGTCCTAGATAATACATATATAAAATATATTTTATGTTATATATACTATGTTTATAATATTAATATATCTATATAGTAATACAATATCATTATATAATATAATAAAATAATCCCTTCTCACCCTTATGGGTGGTCTGTGTCTTCCTCAAACTTGGATCGTCTACCAGAGGCATGGAAGTTTGAAGGTTCTGCTTAGAATTTTAACTGCGCTCTTTTGGACAGAGAGTTCTGAGGTTGTTCCTGGAATCTGTTGGATCCACTCCCCCAACTTAGGAGCCATTCCCACAGGTGCTCCTACCACCACTGGGACCACTTTGTTCTCCCCTCTCATTAGGTCTACTGTTGTAATAGCATCCATCAGTTCCAGGTTTTCTTGTCTTCTCCATATATGGTTTTATTCCAGTAGCCGAACTGTCAGATTGTCCTGGTTGCTCACACACACGTAATATTCAGCAGACTGGATAGTACTAAGTACATAGAACTTATAGTCCAATGAAAAAATAATATGGATTTCTGAATAATCAGCATAATTTTAGAGAAGCCATGGCAGAAATTATGTTTTGAATGTAGTAGTACCCTGCCAGTAAATAGCAATAAAGCTCCCTGCAAATTAAAAGCAATCATTGTAACGTGGAACTGGCAAAATAATTTCTCTTGTCGTGTTAGCTTTTTACAGTACTTGCCAGGATGTTTTTTTTTATTAATATTTCTAGCTTTGAAGAAAAAGGCGTTGGTAACTTTAAAACCTCCTGGGCGGCACCTAAAATAAGTGTTTTTCGGCGTAGAAACAGCCTCTTTTCCATCTTGCCAGGAGAGGGCTCTGCTTACTGTTTCCTAGGAAGTATCTGGGCTTTTCCATTTCGCTCCGTTAAGCCAGGAGGATGAACTTCCTGTAGTAAATAGATTTGCCGCCATCGCGAAGGCTGCGAGATAGACAGGACCAAGATAAGTGGCCCGGCGGACATCGAATCAGCATCACTCGACCAGAGTGAAGACTATCA